AAGTTCCTGGTTGTTCAGGAGAGAGTACAAAGTGGAGAGATTTCTATAGAACACTTAGGGACAAACTCCATGATTGCTGATCCTCTTACAAAAGGTATTTCACCCAAGGTCTTTCATGAGCATACTGTTCGAATGGGTGTTTCAGTGTTTGATGGTCATTTGGTTTAGTGGGTGTTGGTCATTTGTTTTTGGGTTCTATGTTTTGGTTGTGTTTCAACATATTTTATTCTGATCAGAAATAAAGTCTTATAGTTTACACTTTGTGCAATAAATTTAAAGGATCTCAATAAAGAAGGACCAGTTGAAAATCGACATGTATTGATCACTTTTCATGTGATTTTCATACTTCACTTTTCATAATTGATCTCTGTCATTTGACTATATTGATTTCAGTGACCATGGAAGGTTTAGTTATGATTGCTATAATGAAGGCCGCCATGATCCTATGTTGCTATAGTTAATGGACGTGATTGTTTATGCCCTGATATATAATGACAATTTTGAGCTCATAAAGTCTATCACATTTTCAGATACACATGTGACCCAGTGGGAGATTGTAAGAATTATTTGGGGTCACACATGTATAATCAATGTGTTAGGGTCATTATTTAAAGTAGTCAAAACTTATGTGGTCATTTTGATATTAAAGAAAAGACTAATGGGGCATAAGTGTTATGAAAAATTAATGTGAGGATACACTCAGTAATTTCTAATTTGATGACAGGCCGAATTAGAAATTATTCTCTATATAAATAGAGAGGTTATGGTCTCCGCAGCAACCCTAACGAAAAATACAGAAAACTCTCTGCATCCCATCAACAGAGATCTACAGCTATTCAAGATTTGTTGTGGAAAAACCATAGCCAAATTCAGAGCATAAATCATGGATCTAAAAGGTACGTTTCCGCTTTTGTTCTTATTAATCAGAAACTGACATGCTATAGTGGTTTATAAAGATTTAAAATCTTTCTTATTAATATAGTATATTACTTTCTTATTTTATTGCAATACAGCGGTGAGCGATACATGCATGTATTTGGATGTGTCCCATTTATTTTTTTAGTTTATTTATTAGAAAACGAGTTTCTGGTGAAGTTTGTAAGCATTAAATGTAGAAAGCTGCTTCTTCCATGCGACAGCACGTATTTATGTAAAAAAGATTTATTGATTGAAATAAAGATTGGTGGTGGCAGCGACAAAGACAAAAGAGTGTCGTCGTCTCTTTTCATTTATTATATCATGATCAAGTTGAGTGGCTCTAAATTGAACTGCTTCTCTGTCGTCGTCTCTCTTGCTCTCAACTAATCTCTCTTCTTTTCAGATACAAACTAATTTGTTTTTGTATTTTAGGTAGATATTTTTTCTTTTCTTTCTATTCACGGCAAACTTTATAATCAAGAGAGAAATTCACAAAAAATACTGCACACCCACATAAACTTGTTATTAATGTCGAAGATGACGTGAAAAATAAATCGAAGATAAAACTTGATGTTTTTTTTCCCAATAAAATTAGATAGTTACTGGATTTCTAAATGAGTTATACCGCTTTAAATTTTAAAGTAGATCTTATAAATAGCATACTTTAAGTTTTTTTCTTTCCAATTTAACTTTATTAGTTTAAAAGTTTACTATTAATACAAATTTAATATTAACATAACTAACCAAAGTTTCTTTAGGAAAATCTATACTCTAAATTAGAAAGTATAAATACAAATATAATGTTTTATTTTATTTTTAATTTATTAAAACTAAAAAGTATTTTTCAGATAATAATTTGTAATAATTTCAGAATTTTAAATTTGGTGTGGTAGAAGCAAAAAAATAATAATTTTGTGCTATTTTACAATATTCCTTTAAAATTAGTGTTTTACTCTATCGAGAAAACGTAGATAATTTTTTTTTATAACGAAAAAGGTAGATAAGTTGTTTCAGGGAGGCTATTGAAGTATTGAGAGGATGTTATTTAATGGTTGGATTTACATACGAGTCATATATCTGCTTACATATCAGAGTGTAAGTGTAACGTGTTGACTAAAAATGGAAAGTTCGTAAACAGTGCTGTCTAAAGTATTTGAAATCTATTTGGGCTAAACATACTTCAATCGAGTTTTGATGTTTGATTTAAACTATTTCTAATTTTATAAGTCGATTTTTGCTGTAATTTCTAAAATTTTCCTCTGGATTAACCACTTGTTACCAACAAGCAAAAGCCAATAAGTTTAGACAGCTATTTAAAGAAAGATATAAATTGTACTATGAGTTTAATTTTGTGTACCAGTTCATTCAGTTGTACATCTATGTGACTAGGGCTAGTTGTAACAACCGTCGTATTAACTAAACTGTTATTAGTAAAAACAATTCGTTACGTATTGCCGTATTGGGCCGTGTGAGTCGTGTTTTTATTTAAAAGAGAATGTGTGGAGGAGAAATTGAGATGTATACTTTCATGCATGCACGCCATGTATAGAGTCAGATGACATACACATCGAATCGTGAAAACGAAGAAAATCTAGGTACTATTTGACTTAATTTTGGTAAGTCATACAAATGAATAAACAATCATGGACCTATTATTAATTTATTATATAATTGTTTTTGGGTCAAGAACATACATTACCAAACATAGTTGAACTTAACGATGGTATAATAAGGACATTAACACAAAGCATTAAACTATGTATGATAATTTTTTATAAATATATTATTGTCAATACAAAAATTTATTACATAGGTTATTAATTTATTATTCAGCACTTGATTATTACGGATATTCGAGTTTGGTAAAAGAAAAAACAAATTGAGCAGGCTATATGTGATCTATACGAGCAGGCCATAACAGATGTGCCAAAATGAACTAACTCGTTTATGACTTCTACTATGAGATCTCACTATACAAACTAGATATATTTAATGAGATAATTCGATCGGTAGTTTAGCCTATTTCTTACATGAGTTTATACATTAATATATCATTTATATTGTGAACTAAATGATTTAGTTTATGAGTTAGTTCTATCTTTCGTATCTAATAATAGAACGTTTTCTTGCTTTGATTGCATTTTTATACTAGTATTAAATTGGTTACACGAAGAATCATATGCGCAATCACACGTGTTTGATGAACCTCGAAACTGTGGGAATGATGCAAAGCTTCGTTGTTAGTTTTCAACTCTCAACTAGTGTAGATAAGTTTCAAAGGAATAATGATGACACAAGCGATGACGTAATTGGCAAAAAGGTAGTTTTGTCGTGTATTGATTTTGAAATAAGAGGTGGGGGGATTTAATTAGTTATTCGGTATGGGTCGCAGGACTCGCAGCTTTTGTTCGGTCCCGACATGTTTTTCATTTTTTAAAACTATATATATCATATTAAAAGTTAAATAATTCTTGTGTCTCGTCTCTATTATTATTATTATTTTTGTTTTGTTTTGTTTCCGTTTTGTGTCTGCCAAATTACTTTTAAACCTCAGAAATCAAAATTATTTGGTATTGACAAATTCATGAAAATAAAATTAACTATTAAAAAAACATTCGGATCACTAAGACTAATGATGGCTATTTTTTTTTTTTTTTGCAGAAACAAAGATAGTTCTACTTTTGTAAATTATGAAAATTAATTAGAACACCAAATACTTTTATATTAGTTATTGTTATTTCTTAGATCACATTTTAAAGGTTGGGATGTTTTAATTCAAGTGCTGATTGGGAACCTCGCGGTTGTAAAAAAAATTTACGTCACTCTGAAATTTGAATGCAATTTAATATCAGTATGTTTAGCTTAAAAATGCTTGAATCACATATATATATGTGATATAATACGTGATATAATATACTATTATTTACATGAAAAATTTAAGTTGACGTTAATACACAATAATATCAACTATATTCATACAATTATACTCTTACTACTCACCAGTCTTCATATGCCCGGACTTTAGCCTCCCAAATTTGGAGGAAACGTAATGCGATAATCTTTTACCTCGATGGCTCGATCTCTATTTTAACGAATTTATTAAAAGCTATTATCGACCGAATAATGCAGAATCGTGAAATATCCTTTCCATCGAAGGATTAAATTGCTAGTTCATTGTTTCGGTTTTATTACATTTTTTTTTCCTAGGAAAAAATGGGTACATTCAGCTTTTTTATTACTATTATTTAAACCAACAATTAAAAAAATACTTAGCGTATTTTTATTCATCATACCATAAATCATAATATCATATCATGAATCTAATCAATAATAAGTAAGCTAACGTGTCTTGTCATGCTTTTCCGAAATTTTCGTAAATGTGGTCTTTGGACATATCGAATGAATCCATATCCCCTTCAAGGTTCAAGCTCCAGTTCACTTGACCTCATCACTCCTCTTCTTCCTTTCTGAATTTATAATTTATATATTCTATATGATATATTCTAACAAATCCTTATAGTTGTGATCTTATCTTAAATGATTCTTTAGAAAAGCCCACTCCTTCAATGAATTACATCATTTTTCTTTGCCTACACGAATACTTTTTTTTCACGCGTACTCCTTGTTATGCAGCTTTTTGAGACAAACCAGTCTCCAACTTGGATTGTGTTTACCAATATCGACCAAAGAATCACCTTTTTATTCAATTAAATTAACCATAAACTTTTTTGTTCACTTGCTCACAAACATCTTATAATTATGTCAAATGTATCAGGTATTTTTGTATATCACACCACTATTCTAATTTTACACTTTAAGATAGAGTAGTATTTGTTGATGGAAAAGAATAGAGAAACATCTTATCATAAATTAAGTCTACGCTGAGCATCATTAGCTAATAAAAAAATTAGTGTACACAAAAAAATAAAATTATATGCCTTAACACACAGAAACCAAAAAAGAAGAAGAGAGAAGCTAATGGCCACGAACAGACTGGGCCATAAAAAAGGCCCATATGATAGTTATAACCCAGGCCCAGTATGTACTGCTTCACCTCTAGCTAATGAGCCGTTGCCGTCTTATGGAAGTGACGCCGACGACGGAAGGGTAAAACACGCCGTTGATTCAGCCCGCGAATCAATGGAAAGTCAAGCGATTCAGGACGAGCTTGAGAGCTTAGAGCTTGAGATCAAAGATGTTCAAGGTTATATCTCTTCGTTTTTACTCGTTTCTATTTTTGTGTTCTTGTTCTTCGAATTTGCTTTTCGGTTTCTCAGGTTGGTTCTGGGAATATGCTCCGTTTTTCTAAGAAAACATCCATTGATGTTTTAGGTTAATTTCCCGTAAATTCTCGTAAAAAAGATCTTTTTAGGTTAGTTTTATGTGAAAGTTTTAGTTTTTGAACTAGTATTGATGGGAATCGCCTCTGCAGGTCAGATAAGTGCATTGATCGAGCATCAAGACAGGTTATACGAGAGGAAGTCTGAGCTAAAGACATTGTTGAAAGCACTAGCAGCTTCAGGAAGTCCTGTTGCATCTGCTGGCTCGAGTGCTATAGAGAATTGGTCTGAGCCATTCGAGTGGGATTCGCGTGCTGATGATGTTAGGTTCAACATTTTCGGTATATCCAAGTACAGGGCCAACCAGAAGGAAGTAAGTTACTTCTCTGCATTCGTTTCATGTCTTTTTCAAGGATGGTACTTTAGGTTCCTTGTTTGCATTGATGTTTCAATCTTTTGCCTTGGATGATAGATCATTAACGCTGTAATGGCGGGAAGAGATGTCCTGGTGATCATGGCAGCAGGTGGTGGGAAGAGTCTTTGCTATCAACTTCCCGCTATACTTCGTGGTGGTACAACTCTTGTTGTCAGCCCTTTGCTTTCACTGATTCAGGACCAGGTTAGTACTGAACTTAGGGAATATAGTTTGTACACGGAAAGATCATGAAACAGCTAAATTTACAGAGTTATTGTTTAGGTTATGGGTTTGGCTGCTCTAGGGATTTCAGCCTACATGCTGACTTCTACCTCTGGCAAGGAAAATGAGAAATTTGTTTACAAGGCACTTGAGAAGGGTGAAGATGACCTTAAGATACTATATGTAACACCGGAAAAGGTATCAAAGAGCAAAAGATTCATGTCAAAGCTTGAAAAGTGCCACAATGCTGGTCGCCTCTCTCTTATTTCAATTGATGTAAGTCTTTCCTGGTTTCAGTTTCTTACACAAACTTGCTTAGTATGCTGCCTACCTTCTCTCTTTCTGGGTTTAATTTACATTACAATATCCTCAGAGTTGATACAAACTAATTTACATTTCAATTTCCTATGTTACGTTGCTTTGCAGGAGGCTCATTGTTGTAGTCAATGGGGTCACGATTTTCGCCCTGATTACAAGAACTTAAGCATTCTAAAAACTCAGTTCCCAAAAGTTCCCATGGTGGCGTTGACGGTATGTTACTTTTTTTTCTTCTCACTTGCCTCATAATTTCTCCGTCCAGTTCTTTGTTACATTTTGTATACCCTGGGAGCTTAAATCAGTCAACACTAGAGAGCTTGCTTTACCTTACTATGCTTATAATTTTGACCAATTTTCTTCTAACCTGAGTTCTCTGGACTGATATTAGACTGAATATCATTTTTCCTAATTCTTTATGTCTCTGTTGCAGGCAACTGCTACACAGAAGGTCCAAAATGATCTGATAGAGATGCTGCATATTCCTAAATGCGTCAAATTTGTTAGCAGTGTTAACAGGCCAAATCTCTTTTACTCGGTACTCTTACTAATTAATTTTATTAATATACGTTTCTCAAGCTGTGGATAGTTTCATGGCGTGAACATGAGCAGTAAATTTGTCTTGCAGGTACGAGAAAAGTCGCTAGTTGGTAAAGTTGTGGTTGATGAAATAGCAGAATTCATACGGGAATCATATTCTAACAATGAATCTGGAATAGTCTATTGTTTCTCTCGAAAGGAGTGTGAACAGGTTTGTATCTGAAATTCACACATCATCATGTGTTCTGACCTTACCATTATATACTTATTTTGCACCCTTCATTCCTGACCATTGATATTGTTCAATTGAACCTTGGATCGGTGAAGAAATGCTTTAATTTTTTCTCTTACAAGCAATGGTGATAGATTGCAGGTGACTTACGAGATAGAGGGATCTCTGCTGATTTTTACCACGCAGAGATGGATGTAAATATGCGTGAAAAAGTGCATATGCGGTAAGGTCCAGCTCTGATGCAGCATGACTGCTCTTGATGATCAATTTGCTGTATTACCTGATTTTCGTTGCTTTTTCATGTTCACAGATGGAGTAAGAACAAGTTGCAGGTCATTGTTGGAACAGTATGTATATTCCTCCTCCGTTATCATTCCATTATTCTGTGGTACAGTGATGTACATTAATCAATTCAATTGTTGCTTTGCAGGTTGCCTTTGGCATGGGAATCAACAAGCCTGATGGTTAGTAGTGTTATTGATATATAATTAGCTTTGACTTTCAGTTTCCTTTACTTCCGATTTCTTTCTCTTGCTAGCTATTGCTCTTTCAGTGACATATTAATAGTACCTTTAGATTTCTAAAAATTGTCGGTATTACTAGAAACCACCATCTTTCTCATTTTTGAATCACCGATTTTTAATTTCTTTTCCAACTGATATATGAGGCATTTTTGTAGTCAGGTTTGTCATCCATCACAGTTTGAGCAAATCAATGGAAACTTACTACCAGGTTCTAGTCTCTTGTCTACTAAAACTCGATGTGGTTAAGAGGTTGCTACTTATCACCGTTACACCATACTGCAGGAGAGTGGTCGTGCTGGTCGTGATGGCCTCCCATCTGAGTGCGTCCTCTTTTTCCGTTCGGGTGATGTTCCCAGGCAGGTAAGCATCACTTTTACTGTACCCTGCTTATCTGTGCTATAAATTTTTTTGTGATGCTTTTCTTTCTCCTCCAACAGAGTTCCATGGTCTTCTACGAGTATTCTGGTCTGCAGAACCTCTATGATATAGTACGATATTGTCAGGTATGCTGTTTCATTTCCTCTTTCGTGAAGAGTGCATTATCGTTATTAAACATATGAAGCAAACTTCGGCAATTAGCAGCACTTTGTATTAGCTAATGTACCAACTTCCAAGCGGTTTGTGTCCTTGTTCGGCCTGCTTTAAAGTGACTAGATTGTTTTCTTTTGTTTTGCCTTGTATCTTATCTAGCTTCAAGTGTCATGATCTTGAAATGTTCTAAATTGTACACTGTCTTATGAACCATAATCTCTGAATTCCTTTGTTACAGTCTAAAACAAAATGTCGTCGAAGTGCTTTTTTCCGTCATTTTGGGGAGCCATCACAAGATTGCAATGGTATTCTTGTCTATAGTATTCCAATACTGATAGAATATGTCATAACATCATAATGATTCTAGATTTTCTGATGTGCTGATCGTTACTCTGGATTGTTTAGGAATGTGCGACAACTGTGCCTTGTCAAGTGAGGTCAAGGAAGTTGATGTATCGGGTATATCCCTAAAATACATTCTTGTAGAACAGTTGCTTGCAATTTCTCAACCACTATCAGCCATCAGTCATAATATCATAATGATTTCTCGGCGTCCTGATTTTTTTTTTTTGCAGACCTAGCTAAGCTCGTGGTTTCTATGGTGCAAGAAATGCAAGCCAAGGATCAAAGAGTGACAATGTTACAGCTGGGTGACAAACTGAGAACTAAGCACAAGGATCTAAGTTAGTTTCTTTCATTAGCTTGATCTGCAAACAATCTTTAAAGCCTTAATCTCTCGCTCTATTATTTGTTATTTGTTGTTGATCGGCTGTGGTTAACCGTAGGTGCTGAGCTAAAGAGAGAAGAGATAGAACACCTCGTGATAAAACTGATTGTTGACTCGGTATTGGTAAGATCTTTTCTCCATGTTTTTAGTTCTTTGTCAGATTGTAATATCGACACTTGATAACCAGCTCATGTAATAACATGTCAGACAAAAACTCTGATATCGAGCAATGCCTTAAAATCTCTGTATGATTGTGCCATTAGTTTCTTCAGGCTGTATTTGAGTTTTTTTTTTGTGTTTTTTTTCCGCAGAAAGAAGAATTCCAGCACACACCATACTCAACAAACGCTTATGTAACAACGGGACCATTGGCAAACCAATTGTTGCAAGGTAAGGAGTAATGAATTGCCTTCTTTTCAACACGCTCACATGAACACTATAGGCTTAAGGATCTGCAAATGGCCCTTTTATCAAATCAATAGAATTCAATAGAAGCAGTGAACATTGAAAGCATCATTTATGAGTTATCAATGTTTTAGCCATTAGTTGGCTATAGCTTTGGCCTTCTCTCTCTACTTTCATAGTCAAAACTCTTGAAACAAAACCTGTCCATGTGATCCGGAACAGGAAGAAAGACGATCAAAACAGAAACCTCAAGCAGACAAATCAACAAGAAATCAAAAAGAAGTGTTTCATATTCCGGAATAGAATTCAAGCTTGACGAGCTACGGAAAGAGATATCTGCAGCTCATGGAAGCATACTCCCTCACACGGTCCTCTCAACTCAGCAGATTGGCTCGATAAGTTCCCGAAAACCAGATTCACTACAAGAGGCGAGTTTGCGTTACTAAAATCCTTTGTTTTCTTAGTCTTATATATTTAATGGCTTCCCTCTTTTAAAGCTTTATTGGTTGGATTTGCAGTTGGAGAGTATTATAGGAAAACTGAAAACAGAGAAGTACGGAGACAGGATTCTCGAAGTGATGAGACAGGATGCAGTCTCTGAACAACTTGGTGAAGATCCAACAAATGAAGAGACATGTAAAAGCAGATCAAGTAAAAGAGCTAAGACACAGAAGAATGTTGTTTTGGTAGAGAGCAGCGAAGATGAAGAAGAAGAAGCTTGATGAATTAAATATCTTTAGTCCAATCATCGTAGTTTTTTGGAGAATTTTAGTTCTTTCTTTCTTTGTTGAAGCCGGTTTACACCATTCTTTATGTCAGGAATTGATCCGGTTTTTAAATTATATATATATATAAAAAAAAACAGAATCTGACCGATTTACATGGTTTGAGTTTCTTGCTAACAGCTCTTCGTGCTTTTATGCATTTAGGAATTGACGTTTAAGGGATGCTTAATCAATATAGACTTACACCTCGTATACAAATGATTCTGATTTCACTTGTTTGACAAGTTTATCAAGTGTTTTTCTTAATCTGGGAGTGAAACTTTGTCCTAAAACCTCGAACCCAAATCGAAACAATGTCTTGAAGTTTCTCCACAAGGCCAGATCCTTGGCTTTGTTTCCTTACATTATCGATCAGAAGCCGGTATTCCAATAGCGTAGCCTCTGGTAAAGGTTCCAAGAACTCACACTTAGACAAGATCTCTGGAAGAGGAACACCCGAGACGAGGTTTGTGTCCAATTTCGCTCTGCTTTTCTTTGTTTCTTCAGGTTCTCTAACCAGAGGACCCTCGAGAGCTGAAGGAGATGCACCGGGAATCACTTCCCGTGTGAAAGGTAATGATCTTGCGGGTTGTAAGCAGAATTCTATCCACTGGTGGATTAATGGAGATGGGCCTCGCACTCTTCCTCCCATCTTTTCTGCTTCTTTACCAGAGTCAGAAACAGCCGGGATTGCCTTTTAAAAACAATGATGCTTCACGGTTAGCAACAAGATAATGTTATATCGTACTTAAGAGAACGAAGCACTTAATAAACTTTAAGACGGTGCTTACCCATAGATCAGCCCATAAGGTGGCACCGGACTTGGGAACAATCACTGTAACATTAGACATACGTTTTGTGACAGGGATAACATCGCTGCTCCAACCGACAGTGACCCAGACATCTCCGACACTGAAAGCTTTTAAATAGTTGGTACTATCAAACAGTCTAATCTGCGAGAAAAAGAGAAGTAAAAATTGTCATTTTTACTCAAGAAGTAAAGAGTTTCTATGGCACATGTCAAACAAAGTCGTGTTCTATTTAGCGTATGGATAGAGAGAAAGCAAGAACCTGTTTCATAAGCGATGCTAGATTTTTCTCTACAGCGAGTCTTCCACCAGTAACTTGTGAATCCAGGTCTGTCGTGTTGTACGATGCTCCCATGTATTTGAGAACAGCACCAACAACCTCTCTAGGAGAATTCACCATTGAGATCCTCCCGGCAAGCTCAGGTCGCCACAGATCCTCCCAGTCCTAAATCCGGAAGAATGCTCAGTGATATTCAACTTCTTATAACTAGGCACACCGTTGGGCGTTGGACAACATTCCAACTTAGTCGATGAGCACAGCAAACAATAAAGTTAAATTAAACCTCTATTGGAGCCAGTTTATACTGCTGAAATTTGCTCTTCTTGTATGCTATTACCATGGTGCCCCATCGGTATGGCACAGCCCACGTTTCACCGTCGGGAGCTTTTTCTCCTGCATAGTTCCTGCGGAGATAAATCTGAGACTTTCTAAGTCATGAAATGAACCCTAAGAACACTTCCAAGCTTATAGAGTACGAAAAGTTGAAACACAAGAAGAATTATAGTGGAACAACTTAATCTCTTTAATCAATAAGACTGATATTCACAGTGATAAAAACCACTGATGATTTAAACTCTCACCTTCCATTTATCACTCAAGCCTTTATACCAGTCTTGATCTTCTATCCCTTTTATTGGCTCAATCAGCTTTTCCTTTATCGCGAAACTAAGCCAAGAATCACCAATGCTGATCATATCAGCAGCTGCTGTTGAAGCAGACCCTTTTTTTCCTTTTCTAGTAGGCTTAGACAGATCAAAGAAGATTTCTTCAAGATTTGCAAGGAACCGCGTTTTCAACCTCACTCTCTTCCCTTGTGAGCTCATGAACTCCTGAATTTAACCCAGAGAATCCCAACAAAAGACATTTCAACTACAAGCTAAGATGCAAAATGATGGAGAAATTTTCTCAAAATCGAGAACTAAAACTAAACCTTGATCCATGATGGTGGCACTGAACCACGCAGGGCTACGACTTTTAGGGGAACGGTCAGAGAATACACTTTAGCCTTATAGGCTTCGAAATCTGCTTCTAATCTTTTCTCTTCATCTTCGTTTAGAGCTACCTGATTCTTCTCCTCACCTGCAAACATCAATAAGAAATTCAAATCTAATAGTTAAAATCGACATTGAAGAGTAACGAGAGATAAGTCAATTTTCCAGCACCGGCTACAATTTCTGATTCGATTTCATTCTCTGTGACGGAATGAGGAGAGATTACTGGCGGAGGAGGTATTCGAGCTGAAGCCGGAGAGCAGACGCGGAGGCTTAAACCGAGGAACAACACAGTCGAGGCAGAGAGACGTACGATACTCTCATGAAACCGTTCGCCTCGAGAAACTCGTGCGACAGAATATCCAGCGGCGGTTCTATTTCCGTCTTGACGTCGGTTTCCGCCGCAGAAGAAGCTCGCCGGCGGTTTCAGGGAAAGAGACGCCGCCGCAGCCATTTTGTGTCTCTTCCGATAAAACGCAAAGCTGAAAGACAACAGCAACAATGATGGCTTCTTCTAATTTCGACCAGTGGGCTTGTAAAATATGGCCCGTTAGTTAGATTAATGGGTCTCTAAATGGGCCCAATAGTGGTTTTAAACTTTTCGACAAGTTAGATTAGGCTAGCTAAGGTCTAGCTGGCATAATAATTGGGTTTCTATCGTAGTTACAGATAAAGAAAGCGTCGGTCAGCACGTGCGGGTGGTCGTGGTCGGCACGTGCGAGCCCCACTTCGTTTTCTCTCATTGGTCGTAAGCCGATGCTTTGGAGAAGAAAGCATCTTGCAAATTACTAATAAACACTCTTCACACTCTCTCACTCTCTCTAATTTCTCTCTCTTCAAATCCTACCATAAATCACACACACATATACACAAAAAAGTCTTTTTTTTTGTTCCATTAGTTATAGTTTGCTTTACAGCTCAATTAGTCGTCGTCTTCTTCCTCTGTCCTATTCTTGTTCATCCTCCTCCTCGTGGATCCATTTTTCTGAGGTTCATCTAAATTTACCATCTTTTCATTCTTTTGCTTTAAAGTTGTAACCTTTGAATCTGTGAAGAGTGCTGTTTTGGTGTATCGCTTGAATCGTTTTCCGATTTCGAGTTTTTGGATTTGTTTAAATTTTTTGAAGCTTTGGTTCTTCTTTTCGGTTCTTTTTCTAGGACTAAAAATGGTATCTCGAAATTTCGTAATCTCAGCTACACGTGAGCTGTTTGAGCTCGTGGTTGATGATAAATTTTGGAATTTTGGCAGAATCTCGCTCTTGCTTTCTGATTTTAGAAATTAAGAAGTGGGTTTGATCGGTTTGTGACAATTCCACTGTTCTGCGTACTCAAAATGTAGATGAGAGCATGCAAAAGGTTGTGTGGAGAGCTTTGATTTGTAATTAAGAATCAGTTGTTTGGTTTTATGCTAATCAATGAATTAATTACAATTGTTGCCCTGGAATAGTAATCATATAATCTGACAACAATACATATTTCCTCTGTTTTCAGGAGAGGCTGTTCTTTCAAATGATTTGTAGTAACTCTATTATGCTTGGACAGTGCCATGATGGGCATCTGTGAGATGAAAAGCTGCTGGTCATGGCTTCTTTTGATCTCATTGCTTTGTGCACTATCAAATGAAATCCAAGCGATTAGCTCTGATGGTACAGTGATGTGAATCACTATTGCTATTTATTGGCTTCTGGGTATTTTGTTGAGCTTTAATCCTTTTTTTGGCTCCTTACATTCTTCAGGCGAGGCGCTTCTGAGCTTCAGAAATGCAGTTAGTAGATCAGATAGTTTCATCCATCAGTGGAGACCAGAGGATCCGGATCCATGTAAATGGAATGGAGTGACATGTGATGCAAAAACGAAAAGAGTTATAACCTTGTAAGTTTTTTGAAACTTGTTGGGCTTTAAAATTTTTTTTTTTCTTCAGTATCTGTGGTCTCTAATGTTTCTTGTTTCGCAGGAATCTTACTTATCACAAAATAAACGGACTTTTACCTCCTGAGCTTGGAAATCTGGACCATTTGAGGCTTTTGTATGTCCTCTCTAACTTTATTTCAATTTTGAATGCTTAAGACTATACTCTTATGCTGATCATCAGTGTGACGTTGCAGAATGCTTCACAACAATGGTTTGTATGGACCAATACCTACAACATTGAGAAATTGCACGGCGTTGGAGGGAATGTAAGCGCTTCTCCAGGATATTTATGCTGATTCCACATGGTATCTGAGAGACCAAATCCAATTTTTCAAGGTCATCAAAATTGTCCAACTGTTTTTTGCAGTTACTTGCAGAGTAACTACTTAAGTGGACCAATCCCAGCTGAAATGGGAGACCTGCCTAGCCTTCAAAAGCTGTATGGTGTTTTTTCTTCCATCTAGTTGCAAATGCATCAGTCTTTTGGTCTCTGCAATATCTATTAGTGTTTTGTTCCATTTACTTCTCTCGCCATCTAGGATCATTGACTGCAGTGTGAATTAAAATTTGACAAGCACAATAGTGGTTTCTCCGGTTTCACTTATTTCGAATAGTGGTTGTACTCTTCTCTTGACTAAAATGGTTTTCCACTTGTTTATTTGATTTTCAAGGGATGTGTCAAGCAACTCTCTCAGTGGATCTATCCCTGCTTCACTTGCGCAGCTGAAAAAGCTTAGTGACTTGTGAGCACCTTAATCTCTATCTTCCGCTGTAGTTTTTCATATTCCAGTTCTCTGAATATTTCTGTTTCATCCGTCTTATGAAGCAATGTCTCAAACAACTTCCTGGTGGGGGAAATACCTTCAGACGGTGTGCTCTCCGGATTTTCTAAGAACTCGTAAGATAATAAATCCTTTTCTCCTTGCAGAGTTTAAACAATAAAGCTTCTTAAAGTTACATTTCTACAGCTGACCTTTAAAAGCTTCGGTTATATTTTGGGATGATATTTTGAACTATAGTAATCATTTAACCAGCTTGTGTCAGTGTAGACGAGATTTATTAGATTTTCTAACTGATACATTACCTCTACAGCTTCATTGGAAATCGTAAGTTGTGTGGAAAGCAAATTGCTGTCGTGTGCGAAGATGATAGTGGAAACCCTTCTTCAAATTCCCAATCAGCAGGTAAAGCAATAATGTATTCTAGCAGTTTTCTAAGACAGCTTCTGTTGTGGCTCTATCAATAATGTTATATATATTTGGTGCCTCCTACATTATAGGTCAAAATCAAAAGAAAAATTCTGGTAAGCTGCTTATTAGTGCATCAGCAACCGTAGGTGCGCTGCTTCTAGTGGCACTCATGTGTTTTTGGGGATGCTTTCTATATAAAAAGTTCGGTAAAGCCGAGAGTAAAAGCCTTGCAGTGGATGTTGGTGGAGGTGAGCCATGTTGATTCTTCTTTTTGTAGATATTATCTCATAATAAAGTAGAAAAGTTCAAGTTTCTCCATCTCTTAAAGCTTCAATATTTGTCAATTCAGGTGCATCTATTGTGATGTTCCACGGAGATTTGCCTTACTCTTCCAAAGACATCATTAAGAAACTGGAAATGTTGAATGAAGAGCACATAATCGGGTGTGGAGGCTTCGGAACAGTGTATAAGCTGGCCATGGATGATGGCAATGTTTTTGCTTTGAAAAGAATTGTAAAGTTAAACGAAGGGTTTGATCGTTTTTTTGAGAGGGAGCTTGAGATTCTTGGGAGCATCAAACACCGATACCTCGTGAATCTACGTGGATATTGCAATTCTCCAACATCAAAGCTACTGTTATATGATTACTTGCCCGGTGGTAGCCTTGATGAAGCACTTCATGGTATGACCAGTCTTCTCTTTACGGCTCTCTTACGTATTTATGAATGATTCACTGAGAAAGTATTGGTTCTTGAATTAGTAGAGAGAGGCGAGCAATTGGACTGGGATTCGCGTGTAAATATCATCATAGGAGCTGCGAAAGGGTTATCATATTTGCATCATGATTGTTCTCCTAGGATTATCCACCGTGATATAAAGTCGAGCAACATTTTGCTTGATGGCAATCTTGAGGCTCGTGTATCGGATTTTGGTCTTGCCAAGTTGTTGGAAGACGAAGAATCTCATATTACAACCATTGTTGCTGGCACATTTGGGTACTTAGCTCCAGGTAAATGCCCATTTAAGAGTCTTCACTTACATAAAGGTTTGATTTTTGAAATGCTGAGACTTTCTCATTTGACTTCCACTTGATAGAATATATGCAAAGTGGTAGAGCAACTGAGAAAACCGATGTATACAGCTTCGGGGTTTTGGTTCTTGAAATCATGAGTGGGAAACGACCAACTGATGCTTCCTTCATCGAGAAAGGCCTTAACGTTGTTGGTTGGGTATGCAAGTGACATCCTTTTTCGATATTGACATTTTGATTCGGCAAATTTTGACTTTGGTTAGATGTTCTTTGCAGCTAAAGTTCTTGATCAGCGAAAATCGGCCAAGGGAGATTGTTGAGCCGAACTGTGAAGGAATGCAGATAGAGAGCCTTGATGCTCTTCTATCAATAGCAACACAGTGCGTGTCTTCGATTCCAGAAGAGCGTCCCACGATGCATCGGGTTGTCCAGTTACTTGAGTCAGAGGTCATGACTCCTTGTCCCAGCGACTTTTATGATTCCAGCTCTGATTGATTGCATGAACCCACCAGCTGAAAAACCCGAGAACAAGTCAACAGAATCTGGTGGTTTCAGGGGAAAATCTTCAAATGCCTTGTGTCTACTCAATGTCCGGCTTTGCTCCCCAAGAAAACGTGCAAATGCCAGTGAAGAGCCATCATTAGTCTTTGTGTTGTGTTGCCATTTAATTTTCCTCCCAGTTTTACAAGATTCGAGCCATTCATTTTCATCCCCTTTTCTCTTCTTTTTTTTTTGTTTCTCCTGATTTTTGGTAAAAAAAACTTTTATTTGAACATGAAATTGAAATGTATAGTTGTGACCTTGTAGAAAAACTGGTCTCTGCCTCTGAATTGTTCTTTTGAAATAATCCATGTTTCTTCATCGTCTTCTTTCCCATATTATTATCCTTTGTGGCATTAAGCAAGAAACAGTCTGACATTAAATCTTGATATCGATTCAAAACCGATTCATTAGCTTATATTCACGAGCACTTGGACCATAAAGCAGGGAAGCAAATGTTCATGACTTAAGGGGAGTAGCTAGAAAGTGATTGGTATAGGTTGCATGTTACGTTATCTAACACAGTGAAGTTTCTAAATTTCATTTTCTTCATGTTCCAAACCCAACATCCAATTTTTAGTTTGATGCAGCAATGAGTTTATCTCATCCATTTTTGGGTGACATAATGGATCTCCAACAACAAATTCATGAGGAATCCCATCAACCTCTACAGAGCTGCAACCAGGAAACTTTCTGATTCCCAAATCTTTCATTTCCCTTCTCACAATGGCTACATCTTCCCATCTATTGGCAGATGCGTATACACTTGCAAGCAGAGTATGAGCACTGGAATCACTAACTTCCACTATCTCGAGCTTTTCCGCAACCCGTTCAGCTAACTTGACATTCCCATAGTTCCGAGCAGCGCTTAGCAGAGAACAGTACACAGGAACTAGAGTTTCATCGTTTTCATTTTGTATCTTATCTATCAATTCCTCTGCTTCATCTAACAATCCAGCTCTGCATAGCAAGTCAATCAGACAGCTATAGTGCTCTGATTTAGGCTGGATCTTATGTTCTTTGGTCATCGAGTGAAAAATTCTACGTCCTTCTGCTACAAATCCACCATGATTACAAGCTGTTAAAACCGCAACAAAGGTAATATCATCTAATCTGACATCGACATTTTCCATTTCGTAATACAACTCCAGTGCTCTCCTTGACATCCCGTTCATGGCAAGACCGTAGATAAGTGATGTCCAAGAAGCCGTGTCTCTCTCCTTGGTTTCATAGAAAACCTCTAGAGCTGTCTCTATGCACCCACATTTTGCATACATGTCTACAAGAGCAGTACCAACTACTTTATCTACTGCAACTCTGTTCTCATATATGTACCCATGGATCCACTTCCCTTGCTCTAAAGCTCCCGTCTGCCCACAACCTTTCAAGAGAGAGACTAGCACGAAGTTATCAAGCTTAACTCCCTCGGTTTGCATGCACCTGAACAGTTCCAACGCCTCATCAAACCGGTTAAACTGAACATACCCATTCATCATAGCTGTCCAAAGAACAACATCTTTCACGGGACTTCTCTCAAACAACTCTCTACCCTCATCAATTCTACCATTACTAACGTATCCAGAAACCATGCTAGTCCAACACTTGACATTCTTGCTTCTCACAGAATCGAAAACCACTCTAGCCTTATCTAGGCACCCGCATTTACAGAACATATCCACCAAAGCATTCCCAATCTTAACACTCATCTCAAATTCTGTCACAACATACCTGTGAATCCCTTCACCAATATCCAAATTCTTCAATGCAGAACAAGCCGAAAGAGTGCTCACGATTGTACCTTCGTCGGGCTTCAAATTGCTCTCTCGCCTCATCCGCTTAAACACAGCAATGGCATCCTCAAACCTCCCATGCCCAACATAACTTGAAATCAACCCGTTCCAAGAAACAACATCTCGTTCAGGCATTTCGTCGAACACTTTATGAGTGATCTCCATCTTACCCAATGAAGCATACATTCCCATGAGTGAATTACATACATAAGAATCGAACTCAAGCCCAGCTTTCATAGCGTAACCATGGACTTTCTCACCTTCTAAAACCTTCCTCAAACGTCCAATTGATTTCAGAACAACCGGCAAGGTGAAATTATCTGGATACAAGCCTTGCCCTCGCAATTCACCGAACAAAGCCAAAACTTTCGTGAAACTTTTAGTCTCAGCAAGAGATTTGAGCATCTTATTGTACATAATAAGTGATGGAGCTTGTACAGAACCCATGTTCATATCAGAAACACTCTTCAGTCTTCACACACAATTGAGAGAAAAATGTATTGATTTTGTGAGTACCAAAAGACCCGAAGAATAACTGCTCTGTTTAAAACATTAATAAAGAAGAGAAATGAAAATGCAAAGTTGTGAACTTTGTAGAATGCTCTGTGACTGAACAATTCATTCTTCTTCTGCATACTATTATTACCCTTTGTTACCGAAACCCAGAAACAGAGTCTTAAGATTCAAACTCGATTCGGTTTCTGAAGCTGATTTCAACCGACGTCCGATTAGAAATGCCGATTCATCAGCAGAACTTTAAAGAAAAAAAAAAAGCAAGCTTTACGAGAAAACTGCAACATAAACTGAACTGAGAAGGAAGATCATTAACATTTTCAGAGTCAAGTTACAGAAGAGAGTAGAGGACCCATCAAACAAAAGATACAACAGGATTTTCACACACAGGTGTGCAGAGATCGACTCAAGAGTAGACTATGACGAGACATAAGAAGAAGGAAGAAAAACAACACAGTGATATCTCTTACACAGATCATATTTACTCGTGGAAACATATCATACTTATGTATGTATATATATGTTATACGTTAAAGAAAGAGATCATTGTTGCTCCAGGTTTGCTTCCACGATTTTGCTCGCAGGAGCTTTCTCTTGTTTCTCCACATAAGCAGACGGAAACCATCCGGCTTTGCCCTTGTATTCTCCTTCCGACCAGCCTGTCCCAGCCACCTGAAATTCGTTTCACGAAACACCAAGATCTGTTGTTACATCGATCTTTCTCTGTTTTGTATAGTCGAAAGAAAGGTGGCGGGAAAATGTACCTGTCGCACTATTACATAATCATCAACCGCGAGACTCAGTTCCCCTTGGGCTTGAGCGTCAAACGGGTGCACAACCTGTCAAAAAACAATAAAACATAACTCTTGTTTCCCGGGATTTGTATAATCGACTCTTAACCGAGTCAAGTGTATTTGAAAGGCATCACCTTTGCAAGAAAGTAGGATTCATTTTGGGTGAGAAGTTGATGATTGTGATGATCATCAGATCCATTAGACTTTTCGACATCTTTCTGTGGACTAGACTTTATATCTTTCTGAGGAATGGAGTTGGTAACTTCCTGGGTACTAGACTTCATTTTGTCATTGGGATTTGATTTGGTTACTTCTTGGGGACTAGGCTTGATTTCTTCTCGGTGATTTGATTTGATCTCTGCACGCGGACTTGAATTCGTCTCTTCTTGGGGATGAGAAACACCAGCCTCTAGATGTAAAGGTAGGGACTTTGGTGATGATTCTATAGCTTCTTCCTCAGCAATCATCTGAACAAGAAGACAACCAGATCAAGCGACTAATTGTATGTATAGTCATTATCTAAATTTTGTAATAGCACGAGTTACTGACCTCAGAATGTAGCTTATCAAGGATATCAAGAGCATTACGATGATATGACCTCTCAGCTTCAACCTGCATTGGTAATTTCATTTCATATCCAATCCAGGGACCAGTAAATAAATCATGAGGTGAGATATGATTGAAGTGGAGATTACCAGAGCACGGAGGCGTTGATAAGTTATCTTCTGCTGCTGATTGTCGACTTCTAACATGGCCTTAGTAGCTTCTTTGCCAAGGGTTTTCATACTTGATTTGAGCTCAGCCAATCTCGATTCAGAATTCTTAAACTTCATGTAGGTTTCTTCAGACACATCAGATTCCTTCAATTTTGATCTTCTCCTCAGTACATCAGTTGCCTGTTAAAAAAAAAGCATTTTTTACCTCAAGAAACTTCAAATTGCCTCAAAACAAACCAAAGATAAGTTCAACAAGACTTTTACCTGTGCTTCGACTTCTTGTCTCAGCCTGTCATAGTGATTCACCAAATGCCTAGCATCCTCCAAAGGCGCACTATATATCATTGTACGAATTGGCTCACAAACCTACACAAATCAGATTCTGAAGCTTTATTAAACAATTACACGAACAAAGTTCTCGAGCACCCTGCCCGGTAAAAGATTAGAGAATGATATGAAATTGTTCCATAATTTTTACCTGCTCACTAAGAGTTCCAAGAAGAGTTTCCCTCTCATCTTCCACGGACTTGTAAGAGGTCCCAAAGTGATGCGCAATTCTCGAGAGAGGAGTATTAGCATCTGGATTCTCGTCTCCATATTTCTTAAAATCTTCAGCAAACTTCAACCCTATGGATACAGCATTCCAAATTTGGATCCCAAGAAGTATATATTATGCAAATGAGATGGAGGAGGAAACAACAAACTTACCTATCTCTACAACTTTCGTGCCTGTCGCAATGAAACCTTCGAGTCCACGAACGATATTCCTTTGCAAACGCTGTGAAGAAAGAAGTATGATCAACCAAAGCAAGAGATTTTAAGAGAAAAGTCTTCAGAAACCAAAATTATCTTTTACCTTTGCAGCCTTAGTAGAGCTATATAGATCTTGAAGTTTCTGATGACAATGAAGCTCTTCTTCATCAACAATAACTGCATCCGCATTAACATGCCCTAAATGCTTCAAAACCGCCTGCACAATAACCGGAATTTTATACTCAGAAACAAGCTTGCACACCCACTTCAGTCTTGTCTCTAATTATAACGTAATTCATAAAATCAAATACAAAAAGGCAAAATCGATTCCAAAACAAGCAAAGGTCCATACTTTTACATAAAAATAACCAATTCCTACGTCAACAATTAGTCACCAATCCTAGCTGCCCCAAGACTATAACTGAATCATCAAAGATTCCTCTTTTATTGAAATCACACAATCAATTTTCTAGCTTTTTATCAGTAACCAACCAGCCATAAATAAATCTAAGAAAAGGCATCTCGAGTGAAATACCCAGAACACATAAATCCACAAAAAAGGCGAAATAAAAGAAAAAGAAACACACTTGCTGTTGCCTCGCGACTTGCTCTCTGAGCTTTGCTGCTTGCTTTCTAATGGCTTCCATGGCTGAACTAAACGAAACTCAGAAGACCCAATAAAGAAACTCGGACTATTTGTTTCCTTTTTTTTTGTTCCTTCTCGTAGCGAAAGTCGGTTTCTTCACTACCAACTCACAGATCGAGAGAAAGCGATATTATTAAAAGAAAACGATAGATTTCGCTAAAAGGGGTAGCTATATTTACTCAAATAGAGGAAGCAGAGAGAGAGAAAGTCGAGTTTTTGACATTGATCCTTAACTCTTCTTTACAGGTAACAGTCAGGAGAGAAAAGGTAACGACAATGGAATTATAGTGGAGAAAGTTGAAGCTACTCCTTCGGTTCAACACTTTCTTTATGAGTGGTCGGTCTTTAACTTTGTATTCATTAATTATATATTTCATAAAATGTATTTATTTTTGTATTCAATCGCTTAGCTTAATATTCTGTTTCTGTCCTTTTTAATGGCAAATAATTATTGGACCGCTACAAGAAAACTATTATATTTACCTACATTTCGTTTATTTATTTGCCGAATTTCCTTTTCAACATGAGGTTATCATATAACTTTAGGAAAAAAATAAATCTTATCAAAACTCTATTTCAAATTATAAGTCTTTTTCTTTGCACAATCATAAGTATTTTTTAACTTAAAATAACTAGCACTTTCGTCGGTCTGGCTTCTCTTGAATATTCTTTTGGACTATATAACTGGTGTGGCTATTTTTTTTCGGGTTTTTTTTTTTGCTGTTGTAAAAGAAGAAGTTAAGAAATAGAGATATTATTATTCATACTGAATATTCGTTAATATTGCGTTACTTATCAGACTAAACAAAACCACACTAGCTTTCAACGACAACGTTTTGAGCTTCACAAGCTACCAGAGCAATCCATGCGCTGAAACGACACCGTCTTCTTCTCCAAGTCATACCCGACAAGAAAATCCATCTGAACCAAGTTCCCGTAGATAGCAACTTCAGTTGTCGGAATCATACTCAAACACACCATATCTTCACTCATCTTCACGAACGCGTTGATCGGACTCAGCTTCACGTCAGCTTCCGTGAAATGCATTGTTATCTCCGGCAAACCAATCGCTTTGTCTCCGGCTCTGAAACAGTACGGTAAAATCCCCTCCGGATCACTTACACGCTTTGCTCCGGTCACCTTTTTTTCCACCGCCGCACCAAAACCATCGTAAAATCCAGATTCAAGAAGCGTGAGCGTCGTGCCTGAATCGATTATGATGTTACCGGTCGTCGTCTTCGATTTCCCGGCGTCGTTTAAACCTCCTCCTCCTCCGGTGTACGGAAGCTTGGTTTTGCCGACGCTGATTGCTTCTAGGGTCAAGAAATAGTAAGTCTCGGGGACTTTTTGAACTAACGGCGTAGTGAGCACATTCGAATCTTTGCTTGCGCTTGAAGGAATCGAGTTGGTTCCTAGGTTTATGACACTTGTACCGTTTGTTGTAGATGACGTGTGTGACAAGCAATACGAGAATTTCTTCTCTATCGAAGAACCGAGCTGTGATACTAACGATAACGGACCGCCTCCTAGACCGATGATTCCAGATCCGGTTTCCTCGAACGTACCGCCGTTGTTGTAGCCGCAACCGAAGACTGTACCGGGGAAAGAAACAGAGGAGCCAGAGGAAGAATCAATGGAGATTGTTTCGGTTGCAACGTCTCCTTTTGAAAACGACTCGTCTCCATAAGAGTAACGGTATTTGCAGATGTTGTTCGACTCGTCGCATCCTTGTTCGCTTTCGGATAAAGCGTGACAGGCTTTGGAATCGCAAGATTCGGTTTTGTACGTCGAAGATTGCTTCTTGTCGAAAATTGGACTGTTTTGTTTGTAACATTGTTGACATGGTTTGCATTGGACCCAAGTTAGGTCACTTCCCGTGTCGGCGATGGCGAGGAGTTTCGACGGTGGAGTACCGATTGAGATGGTCATGAAGTATTCGCCGCCGGTTGCTATTAAACCGGATTGGAGATCGGTTTTGGTTGAGAAATGGCGGGAACGGGAGATTGAACGGAGGAAAGCGGCGTTGAGACGGTCGGAGACAGTGTGGAGAGGGTTGTAGAGTGGAGAATGGGGAGAGTCACGGTGGATTAGCTCGACGGTTAGGTTTGACCGGTGAGCTGAAGAAGAGGAAACGAAGAAGGTGATGGTTATGGCTAAGAGAGAGCAGTAGAGGAAAGTTTGAGTTGCCATTTTCGATTTGTTTTGGAAAGTTTTGTGGTGTGATGAGTGAGATCTTGCGAGTGTTTATAAACTGCAAGATAGGGAATGCGAAAAGGTTGAAACGGCAAGGAGTTTAGCGACGTGGTAATGAGGTGATTGATGGATTAGCTTTTAACTTTCATTAAGGTTGCTAAGTTATTGAGAGGTTTAGTGGAGATGTGGGATGATTAATGGCAATAAACAGATGTGACTTCTGAGTTTTCTTTCTTTTTTGCCTGTATCAAAATATGGATGTACTTGTGAGATTTATATTCTCATTTTTATGTTTTTATGATCATATACTTGTAATCTAGAAATTCATCATGCTTATTGAATCAACAAAAGCTTTGGACCTTTGGCTTTGATTACTAGTGTTTTTGAACAAGTAACGTAAATACCTTAACCAGTGTTTCTTCTTTTTATCTTTTTCAAATGATCAGTATTTCAAAACAACATTGGTTAATAGTTTTTGTTGCTGTTGTTAGCTTTGGTTGTATTCGCGTTGTATGTGCAGTTTTGAATTAATTTAATTGAATTAGTTATGAATTTGACATTTTGCTTTTAAATCATTTCTGAAAATTATTTGAAAAGTTAACTAGAAATAAAAGGATAAAAAAGAGTTCTTACCTGTTCATATTTACTAATTGAAGTTTGTCTTGTTTGCCACTGGATATTGTTAATGATGTTCTTGGTATAAATCAAAGTCTCACCAACTTAAAAAGGACGCAAATGGTAGAACTGATCTTTTATTTGCAGTTTTCATTTCATTGGATACTATATAGAATAGCATGTACAGTATATCAAACTTCATAATTCCAGTTTTAGAACTCCTACAATTAATTATATTAAAGTTTATTTATACTTCTGATTTTATTTTGCTAATACATATCTGTGAACATTTCTCCAAACCGAAAAAGTAAACCCAAAACCCATTTGCACATCCCACTTCTTAATCATCAAAATCGAATTTTGCCGATGCCTTTCTCGTCATTTTGATGATCTCAGCTGCTTCTTTTCGCATCTTCTGTTGCTCTTTGAGTGCCTTTTTCAGCATTTTCCTCTGATCTTCCACTGAAAACGCATTCAAATCAGATAAAAACTCGTCGAAATCCATGTCTCTCTCGCGACCAGAAGAGTAAGCAGCAGCACTAAACGATTTGCTGCTTTTGATGTTCTTCTTCTTCGCTGATGATTTGTTCGGAGAACGCCAAATGAATCCCATGATTTTCGATGGAGATAACTTATCAAACCACGAGCTTGAGGATGGCTTGGATTTCGATTTCGATCTCGATTTCTTTTCTGGTTCTGAATCCGATAACGGTGGTGTAGCTAAATCGATAGAAGAAGACGAAGATGACGGTCCGTTTCTGCGTTTCTCTTTAGGAAGCTTCTGGGTTCGTTTAACTGGCGAGAAAATCTTATACTCTCTCGATGAGCTCGAGCCGATGATTCCAGAATCCGAGAATTCCCCACTTCCATCTGAGACAAGCCCAGCTCTCGAACTTTTCTCAATACCCGATTTCACACCCAGATCGCGTTTCTTCCCTGAGAAAACACTCGAATCCTCATCAGATAAACTCACGGAACCACAATTTTTACCTGGATTTCGTCTGTTTCCCGAGAAATTCCCATCCTCCTTAGGGTAACACGCCACGCTCTTGGATTGCGCGAGATGCTTCTTCCTATTCTTCGACGAAGACGAAGAAACCGGGTCGGGTCGAGAAGCTGGAAGAGATTTGAGGCGACGGAAACGAGTTTCGAGATCATCGGGAAGAGTAGAAGAGTCGGCGAAGCCAGAACAGTTGATTGCGGCTACTTGCTCCAAAGCAGAAAGCTCCTTCGCTTGCGAAACCAGCTCTTCCACAGCTGAATCATCCGTATCCGAAAGATACCCAAAATCCGCCATTATCGATGAAAATGAAAAAAATTCTTAGGGTTTTTGCTTTTGGAGGAGCAAAGAGAGAAGAAAATGGAGGAAAGTGGCCACAACGGCTAATTCATGATTTTGTCAGTTACGCTGGCTCCGATACTGTGCGCGTCAATTTTGATGACTTTTCTGTTATATCATCTTTTAGTGTGGGACCCACGAAATGAGTGATTAGCCGTGTTTAAATTACTTTCTTAAAGACATTTTAATTCAAGTTTCGCGAGAAAGATTGTGTAGCTTTAATTTGTTTCACTATTAATCTTCCTGTGGCCTAAAAAAAGAGAGAAAGATTTGTGGTTTCTTTGTTACAATTTGATTCACAATGGATCAAGCTCCTTGTACGATGATGTTACGGAAACCCGGTCTTGTTCGAGCCGGTGATAAACCGGTTTGGTTCTCACGTACAGCAACAGACTTGAAGCGAGGCCAAGAAACGACAAGTAACCCCAAAACACAAACGTTTTGAAGTAGCAGTCTCTTCCAATGCAAACGACCGAGTCAGACACGACGTGTCTTATCTCAGGGCTTGCGTTGGCTTCGTAAATGGACGCAGCGACGAAACCGTATAAGAGCGAGCCGATGGGTATGTTTGTGATGAGAATGTTGTGGTTAACACCTACGCTATTGGGTCCAAAGAGATCAGATGTTATGGAGACAGCAGCTGCAAATATGAAACCCGAGCTTAGACCGATCAAGGCAGTTGCGGTCTGCAGTTGCTGTAAGGATGATATCGCTAGTAAAAAGAAAGCGATAGGAGTTGGCAAGAGTGCGATTGCAAACCAGCCGGTTCTTGTCAAACGAAATCTCCTGCAAGATGGAAAGATTTGATCGGATTTTTTCACATTAGACGTTCCTTAATCTAAGAAATGAAACTTACTTACTTGTGCATAAAATCTGGTGCGGCAGAGAGCAATCGACCAAAGAAGGAGAATGAAGAGTAGATCGTGACGAGGGTTGTCGAGCTTTGTCCCAAAGACTGAGCAATCTGTCCCAAATTGTTGCTATAAACAAGGCCAATCGTGCCACCACAGAAATAAGCAATGTAGTATAACCAAAACTCCAGTCTACTTATGAGCAATCGAAAGGAATGTTCATCACCGAGTCTCACTATGTTCCCTTCCTTCACGTTCTTCTGACTTGCAGTCCCCATATGTTCATACCCGGGTTTGTGCTCATCTATGTTAAGCATAACATAGCCAGAGCGGTCGTTGTTTAAACGATGGTTAATGGCAGGAAGAAAGTAATCCTGAGCATAAACGAGAAGAGGAGCACACAAGGGGAAAACCAGAAGGACTATAGCTCCAAGAAAATGGAAACGAGCTGATGTAGCCACCACATAGGTGCTCGAACTAGACAGGAGAAGGTGGAAGCTGGTCATGACGGCTAAGACATTCATAATGGCAAACACACGGGAGTCATGTCGTCGTGATTCGTTGTCTGGTGTAGAGTCTAGAGATGGTTTAGTAAGAACTGGGAAAAGGGCAGCAAAGGAAACCACAAGTGGAACCAGTGAGTTGAGCAGAAGGTATAGATTTGAGGACGGCGGGTTAATTGCATTGAAAGCGAGGGAGTATAAGGCTGCACTGATTCCATTGAAACTTACCGTAAGAGATAACGCGAGAGCTCGATTGGTCGGGAAATGGCGGATGCAGAGGATGAAACATGCTGTGTTGAACCAACATATGCTTAATCCAGCCAATAAGCAGCAGAAGAATACCTATCATGATCAAAAGATTTCATAAACTACTTCAAAAGAAAATGCTGTTCTTTCACTATTCTGAATATCTACAAGAACTGAAGCAACATGTCATATTAGTGAAACGGAATTCTTGTTTAAGGTTCTCTATGATCTTCTTCTAATCAATGGTATTTAGCGCAACAATGGTCTAATTCGGCGAAAAATTAAAGCTATGTCTTGAGAATGATATCGATCAACAAGAATTTGGTGTGAATCTTCCGGATTCAAATTGAGTTTATACAGATATGTACCAGAAAATAAGGGAGAGTGATGATGTTGGTGATGACAAGCCATTGAACACCATAGCCAACAAAGCCCATACCCGCCGCCGCAAAAAGAACGACGGAGAGAGGGAGATAACCTAGAGCGATCCCCGACGACCACCCGAACGCTTTTCCCAAATCGGAAGCCACCGCGAGGTAATTCAACCTGACCTGAGAGATCCCGAGTACTGATTTGAGATGGGAGGAGTAAGCCGAGAAATCGAAGTTAGTCCCCGTCGATGCCTGGATCCAGATCGCCGCCACGAGCACAGTCCATTTCCGCCAGCGACCGAACATGGTCCTGAGAGGCGGCGGGTGTTTCCGGTGAAACTTTGCTTCGCCGTCGTCGTCGAAGGAGGCTCGGTTAGGTCGGAGTTTGTCTGAGGCATCTTTGATACGAGGTCTCATATACAATGGGAAGATGGATAATGGAAATGGTGAGGTGATGTTGACCGATGAAGGAAAAAAAGCGTATAGTTGTTGATCTACCGCTTTTGATCTTTTTGAAGAGAGTGCTTTTGGGATTTTCCTGGGAAAATTTTGTTTATTTCCGGTGAGTGTGACACACCCACTATTGTTGAACCTTTTTTTTTTGTTTTTGGATAATTGGAAAAACATTAAAAAATGTCTAAATAATTAAGAAAAAATATATACATTACAATCTTTAAATATTAAAAAACATAATTTTTTTGTTTAAAATTTTAAAGTTTGAAAACTAAGTTTTAAGGATTATAGTTAGGGTTTAGTATTATAAATCTTAGGAATTATTTTTTAAATATAGGGGTTTTTAAATTTTTCATTGTAGATTTAAATTCTTTTTGTTATTTTAAAAATATATATTTTCTGAATTTTTGTAGTTGATACCAAAAAATTTTTTAACGAGGGCTTTCTTTTCAACTTTGTTTTAAGTTATTTAGTGTTTCTTATATTAATTTAATGTACACATGTCGTATCTACTTGTTTCTTTTATTAGATGTCCTAGTTTTACTTTGAAGTCATGAAGTTGTGTGTGTATAAACGTAAGTTACGTAACTATCGAATTAAACGTAAATTAAAAGTTAAAACAAGAACTGATAATTGAGCAATCTTACACCGTAGACTAAAGAAACATGTCCGTATCACGTATTCACGTGGTTAGACCAACCAAATTTTAATTGTCAAACAAACATTACCATCAATTGTAGTGGTTGAGATTTGGTGTGGCCGTGTGGCTTATCTTCATTAAGGTTTAAGCAGTCGCTGCCGTAAGGTTTCTGCAAAAAAAGTAAATATAAACCAAATATAACTTACATCAAGACTTATCTATGAACAGAGTAATCCGATTAAGTGCGAATCTAATTACACATTTTGTTTTAGATGAACTTATTATACATAATACTTTACATTCTTCCTTGGTATATTTGTTCTCTTCTTTAACTTTGGGTTCGTTATTGTAAATCTGTTGTGGAACTCAAAGAGACACTAATCGATTTTTTTAACCGAATCATCCCAAAAACTAAAATCGATTAAGACCTTACCATGCATGTCCCAATTTTTTTTTGTTTTGTTTTTGCTGTATCTGTCTAAAACATTATTGTTATGGTCAACAACATGCACCATGTGAAAAAATAAATGAGGATGGTGACGGAACAACAACATTATCACAAATTATCAAATTATATATACTTTTTAATCTAAAATCAACTTAAAAGTATAATTGCAAACACAATTTTTTATTTATGTGATAGTTAACCCTTAACCAGCCCATGCCTATGATTTTGACTGAAATATAAATTGTGTTTAATTTTCTTAAAATTACCCAACCTGAACAAAAAAAAAACAAAATCTTCTGCGTGGGGAATGCTGACATGGCATTGACGTGGCAGTTGTTAAGAGATGACAGTACACGCAACCGCTGAAGAAAGTTTCGATCTCTCACGAGTCACGAATATTCTTTCAGCAAAACCAAACCTTCCATTCAATTTCCCAGCTGTCACTCTATTCAGTTTTTTTTTTCTTTTCAAACGACCTTTTTTTTTTGTTCTTGTTTGTTTCCTCTTCTTCTTCTTCTCTCTCGCGATTTCGCTTTCATCAAATCAAATCTCTCATATCGCGTCTTCTTTTTTTTTGTTAATTCCCGTTCCAAAGCTTCGTCCTTTCTGACCCTTCTGTATCGAAAGATTGTTTTTTTTTCCTTCTCGGTATAGAGTTGATTCTATTTTGTCTTTGTAGGGTTTTGTTAATAATTTTTTCCTGGAAACTCGTAATTGATTCAAAATTAGTCCTCTTTTGCTTTCTTTCTGACTACTGATCATTGATTATTATGATTTTTGATCAGATGGAAGATACAGAGGCACGTTTAGGAACTCGGGAGGTTAATGAAACCTCTCCGGATTTGTTGAAGAACACGCCTTCAAACATCGCTAGATTAGAAGATGTAATTGAGCAATGCCATGGCAGACAAAAGTATCTCGCTCAGACCACAAGTCCTTCAGATGGGAGTGATGTTCGTTGGTACTTCTGTAAGGTTCCTCTAGCTGAAAACGGTGAGTCTTCCAATTTTCGAAACATATATTTCGGAGAAGAATGGGGAAGGAAAAAAAAAGAAATTGATGCATCATCCTCTAGTGCTCGTATATCCAAAATTCTGATTGCATGTTTTGTCATTTACCTTCAGAATTAGCTGCTTCAGTACCTCGCACTGATGTAGTAGGAAAGAGTGAGTATTTCCGTTTTGGTATGAGGGATTCTCTTGCGATTGAGGCATCTTTCCTGCAGGTTCTTCTTCTTATTCTAAGCTTTTGTAGTTTTACTTTGTATTTGTGCTGTTTGGTTCAAAATTTGAGTGAAACTGAGATATCTAAGAAAGTTCTGTTTCTCCTGGGAATTTTGTGGAATAGAGAGAGGATGAGTTGCTGTCACTCTGGTGGAAAGAGTATGCAGAATGCAGCGAAGGGCCTATACCACAAGTTAATCTTAAAAATAAATCGAATAAGCCGTCGATTGAAACTCCTTCAGAAGCTTCTGTGTCTTATGAAGTTGAAGAGGAGAGAGTCGGTGTACCTGTTAAGGGTGGGCTATATGAGGTACCACCGTTCTTTGCAGAGATTTGAAGAGTGTTTTTATAATTTTCCTTGTAAAACTTAACATTTGGAACCAACTTTAAGTCCTTACATTCAATCCATGTTTCTGACCAAGGGACTGGAATGCTGCAGGTGGACTTGGTGAGGAGGCATTGTTTTCCCGTGTACTGGAATGGAGACAATCGGCGTGTGCTTAGAGGCCATTGGTTTGCTCGTAAAGGTGGCCTAGACTGGCTTCCAATTCCAGAAACTGTTGCTGAACAGTTGGAGGTCGCATATCGTAACAAGGTTATATGTCTTCCTCTGGAGTATATTACTAGAACCAGAAAAGTTTTCTAGCTGATGCTTTTACCGTTTGTGTTTTTGGTTTTTAAGGTTTATTCATACATGTTGTTGATGGTATGAGTCATATGACTATAGCACCAATTTAATTTGGCCTTTTTTCACCTAGGTTTGGCGGAGAAGAAGTTTTCAACCCTCTGGACTTTTTGCAGCTCGTGTCGATTTGCAGGGTTCCAGTCTGGTATGTGTTTGGTTTCATGGGGAAGAAACTGTAATTATCTTTCCAGCTAAATGGTTGCATATATAATATTGTCTGAAGTTGTTAACGTAGGGACTCCATGCTCTCTTTACCGGGGAAGATGGTACCTGGGAAGCGTGGCTTAATGTTGATCCCTCTGGTTTCTCTGGTATTGTTGGATATACTGGGACTGGAATTAAGTTGCGACGTGGCTATGCGGGCTCCTACTCTCCTAAACCTACGCAGGTTTTAACATTATTCTGTTTGTTTTTAGTTAATTTCTTTGACCCTTAACTTTGCACTCTATATGGGAAATGGAATCAAGTCTCACATTTTTATGTTATTGTGCTTCTTTTCAGGAAGAACTACGCCAGCAAAAGGAGGAAGAAATGGATGACTATTGTTCTCAAGTATGTCTTTTCTTCTGTGAACCGCGTTTGCATATAGAGCATCTAATCTCTGTCGTCCAATTATTTTCTGAATATCTCAAAGTTTGTGTCTGTGTTATTGTGTCCAGGTACCTGTTCGGCATCTTGTATTTATGGTTCACGGTATTGGCCAAAAAGTAGAAAAGTCTAATCTTGTTGATGACGTTGGAAACTTCCGTCAAATCACAGCAGCTTTAGGTGAACGTCATCTAACCTCTCATCAGCGCGGCACTCAAAGAGTCCTTTTCATCCCATGCCAGGTGACTCTATATATATAAATCATATTTTGTTTCTGTTTTATCTTTGTGTAGTATGATCTTACTTCACATATGCCTTCTTTTTCTTTTGTTTCTGTAGTGGAGAAAGGGTCTAAAGCTAAGTGGTGAAGCTGCTGTTGATAAATGTACTTTAGACGGTGTACGGCGTTTACGAGAGATGCTGAGCGCAACTGTTCATGATGTGTTATACTACATGAGCCCCATTTATTGCCAGGCTATAATTGATTCGGTAGTGTGCAGTTTCTCCAATTTGATGATCTCTTTGTCTTGGAAGTGCCAAATTGAAATTTGTGATTTAGTTTTGGAATTTTTGTCAGCCACCTTATTAGACACTGTTACTTTCATCTTTGGTATCGTTATGATTTGTGCTTCTTTACATCTTTCAGGTTTCAAACCAGCTGAATAGACTGTATGTGAAATTTTTAAAACGGAACCCGGACTATGATGGAAAGGTGCCCATTTGGTTAAGTCCATTCATCAACTTGTAACTAGTGTAAGCTCGCATTGAATTAAAATTCATGTTCTGTTTATGGGGTTTTACAGATTTCCATTTATGGACATTCTCTGGGGAGTGTTCTCTCCTATGACATCTTATGTCATCAGCACAATTTATCATCCCCATTTCCGATGGATTCAGTATACAAAAAGTTTTTCCCAGATGAAGATTCTCCTCCAATTCCAGCTAGCGCTGACAAACCCTGTAGTTCTTCGCGTCAGTCGTCAAATCTTGAGCCAGAGGAATCTAACCAGTTGAATAACACCGAGGAAATCACAGGTCAAGATAATGACATGATGGATAAAGAATCAACGGTATTGGAGCATCATGATGTCATCCAGGAAGCTCCTGCGTCAATCTCTGATTCTATAGTAGAGAATGTGGGTTTTGAAAGAATAGGCAGCCAGGAAGATGACCATCATGATTCTAGTGGTGCTATTTCCTCTCAGGATGGACCAGATGGAGCTGACTGTAGAACACCTGATACTTCATCTTCTTCATCCTGTTCTCCAGAAAATTCATTTGTTGAAAAATGTGACAATTCTGATACCGATGAGACAATCAAGTTATTACGAGAAGAGGTAAATATTGGCACTTCCAATTTTCCAGTTCTTTGATCAGATTATGAAGTTTAGGTTCTTGCAAGCTTTCACTCGTGTTCACAGCATCTCTTACTTTCTAAAGTTTGTTTTCTCTGTGGAAGTGTTTTCCAATTTCTTTGCTGATTGACCAAAACAATTCATTAACGGTGGAATTTGTTATTCCAGGTTAAGTCATTGAGGTCAAAAGTAGCACAACTGCAATCAGAAAATGCCAGAATATTGACGGATGGTATTAGTGCTGAAACCCGAGTGCTATCTTTCCGATATTTCGAGTAGTGTTTGAAGAATTATTTCTTGTACATCTTAGTGATGATATGAACTGTTATCAACAGGAAAAGCCAAGACATCGGTGATGCCTGAGCAGCACATCAACGAGAAAGCGCCAACTAAAGATCCCAATGCACCTTCAAGCTTTACTCCTCATATCAAGTACCAAAAGCTTGAGTTCAAGGTGTGGGATCGTAGAGTTTAAAATGTCTTTATCGCATTCGGAAACCAGACTGAAAAAAATGTCATCCTAACTTTTAACTGCATAATCTTCTCAGGTTGACACTTTCTTTGCAGTTGGGTCGCCTCTTGGAGTCTTTCTCGCCCTTCGAAATATACGTCTTGGGATAGGTAATACTTGTTCACTAGAGCTTTCAATTGTTTTTGGTTTTTACGTAATTGGAAAAACAATAAATCCATAGATAAGCAATCAAAGATATTTGGCTCAATTCTTCTTTTTCTTGTCTGTTCTTTTCTATTGAATTGCTTCTCTACCTTTCTTTTGCGAATTCTTTTTATATGGTATAAAAGTTGTTCAACATGTCCTAGGTAAGGGAAAAGATTACTGGGAAGAGGAGAATGTTATTGAAGAGATGCCAGCTTGTCGTCGAATGTTCAACATTTTTCACCCATATGATCCTGTTGCATATAGGTTAGTCTTCTTACAGAGAAAACAGTGTGTAGCTAGTTTATGATCTCACTGTCTTTATTACGTCCTTTCTGAAACTGTGAAACACCAAAACTGGAACTTTGCGTTTCATGCAGAGTGGAGCCACTTGTCTGCAAAGAGTACCTCCCCAAACGACCCGTTATTATTCCCTACCACAGAGGTGGCAAGCGGTTGCATATTGGATTACAGGTAATTGAAATCTTGTCGTTTGGTGTTTCTTTGTTGCTTCCTCTTCTAATTCGTTTGTTCTATGTAATAATGTTCTATAGGATTTCAGAGAGGATTTTGCGGCGCGTTCCCAAAGAGTAATGAATCATTTTGATTCCGTACGGGTATGTGTTTTCCTGACTTGTAATTAGTTTTCTCTATGTTATCACTTTGACCTCAAGTTGTTATCTTTTACAATTCAATTTACAAAAGACTTGTCTTTGATTCTCATTCAGACAAGAGTTCTCACTATTTGCCAATCTAAAAGCTCCGATAAACTCGAAGGTAAAAAAGTCTATAACTTTGCAAGCTTTTTCACTTCCTTTTAAAGGCTCCAAATCTCATCTTTTAATGTAACTTGCATGCGTGATTGAACAGAGACGGAAGAAACTGATGACGAAAAGGATGGAAGGTCTTATGGTTCCTTAATGATGGAGAGACTAACCGGAACTCGAGAGGGTCGAATAGATCACATGCTTCAGGTGAAATTTTGATGCATTTCCACTTAATTGATAACTGTCTATCTGTGATTCTTGGAAACTGGAGTTGATTGAAGAATAAACACGCATCGGATTTGCTCTCGCTAGCTTGCAAATATTAATTGGTGAAATATGTGGGTGATGCAGGATAAAACCTTTGAGCATCCGTATCTACAAGCCATAGGAGCTCATACGTAAGTGAAACTTTTCATTGATAACAAATACTTTTTCGTTCAGAGCCAAGAACTCAAGACTGTTAAATATTGTGCAGAAACTATTGGAGAGATAATGATACTGCTCTTTTCATAATCAAACACTTGTACCGCGAGTTACCAGACGGACCAAACTCACCCAGGGAATCCACCGAAGGAGATGATAGTCCAAAAGACTCAAGTAGACCTCATAGCTGGATAGACAGAAGAGAGAGTAATGATGCTGATGAAGAGCTTCCTTTAACATTCTCCAACAAACAAATCGCCAGAAGCTTCTCTGCAGAAGCCAAGAAATATATAAAGAAGCCTTGAAGACTTTGATCATAGGTTTAAATATCTGAAATCCGGCGAGAGCTCCCTGATATTTTGTTTTTGTTTACTGTGCATAGGTAACATATATAGTGCAGATAATGTAAAAAATAAAAACTCAGGCTCCATGGTTTTGCCTCATTGTAACCATAGTTTTACAGATAATAAAGAAAAACGATGGAAAGCTTCTTCCTCTGAGCTTATTTTCTCGTGTTAGCTGAGCTTCTTTTCAGGTCTGGAGTTGAAGATGTTTAGCAGACATTGGCTGAAAAACCGAGTCGGACTCTAAAGCTGCAGCGAGATCAGGCCACACGATAGCTGAAACTGACCACGAGCCATCATTGCAGGCGCTAGGTCGCTGGTTAAGGTAGCCAACTCCTATTTTCTCAATCGTTGAACATACAGTTCCAAGGAAAGGAGCACCAAATCCAAAATCCAACTCAGCCACAGGGAACCGTCGTCCTGAAGACAAGACCAAAGCTGGTCCTTCTTGTCCGAGAACCACCCGAGCCAACATCAGTCCAGGTCGGTGACTCTCGATCCAATCTATCAAATCTTTGAAATGGGAATCGTTTGTCACTTCGTTTATCGAGTTATGCACTATGTTTGCTATCTCTGATACATGGTTTTGCTTCAGATTTTCGACAGTGGCTTCACCTACAGCTACAGACAAGACGTTTCCTATGTAGCTCGAGGTAACGGTCTCAAGTCTTCCTCTACCGTCAACAAGCCAGCCCATCTTGCAGGTTTTATGACCACTCTCTATAGAATCCACCATTTTCTTCCATACATAAGCGGAGAAAGCTTCGATCTTTGTCCTGCTCTCTCCGTTTACAGTAGCTAGAGCATGCAACGCGTTTATGCTCAAAGCATCGATGTGATAGAGACGCTTGATGAGCGTTTTTGGCATTGGTATGTTCTTAATCTCTTCCTCGCTGCATTTGATAAATGTTTTGTCTAACAGAGGGTGGTAACGTGGAGGAGAGCGCGCACGGAGTAGATTTCTCCGGTGATCTGGTATACATGAAACCGGCTGATTTCTTGATATCTCTGACCACGACGTGAGGAATTTCCCGAAAGAGTTCGCGTCTCCTAAAGCGTGATCGAATGTGAATGTTATAGAGAGGCCTCCGCATTCGAACTCTGTCGCTTGAATCTGTAAAGCGAAATCCGGGTTAACCCGGACCAGCTTTGCTTGGAGAAGCGCGTCGAGATTGTAAAAATCCAGACTTTTGAGATCTTGATTAGCTCGGGCTTCTACTAGCAAAGCTCCATTGTTGTTGCAGACGATCATAGGCTCTTCTTGAGTGGTTTCGTTTTGAACGATCTGACCCGCGAAAGGGTAGAAGTAGTTAAGAGTTTCGGCGAGAGTGGCTTTGAGGGATTTGACGATGGAATCAAAGGTTAATAACAAGTGAGGTTGCTTGGGGTAGAAGTAAAAGTAGGTCACCGGAAAACGGCCAGAAAGAAGGTCGAGATTTGAGAGAGAAAGGCTATGAACTTTCTCCGGCTTGTCGCCGGAAGCTTTAACTACGAACTCTCCGGTAAAACTAACATCTAACATTTTCATTTTCAGTTCCAATAGGTGTAAAATTCTCAAGGGAATGCTTATGAGCTGGATGATGATACTTATAAGAAGAAATGATTTTATTCGGTTTGTTTGTGACAAATATTCAAAAGGATGATCATTATTCGTTTTGAAATGTTTTTTTTGGAACATTACATTGCATCACTGTCATTTTGGATAAAAGTTTCAAGAAAACAGAGTACGACTTTATTCATTAGCAATGGTTCAAATTAACGGCAAAGTTGAGACTGAAAGAATATTCGTTCGTCCTCACAATTATCAATTAGTTGCTGCGACAGTATCGCACTTTAGTGGTTGATAGATAAAATAGATCAATGCTTGGCTAAAATTGTTTGAACTTTATTCATTAAGATTGTACGAGAGAATCATATCAAACATGTCATGATAATAATAAAATTTGTTTCTTTCTACTTCTTTTTAGCAGAGTTTTCTTTTTAATTTGTAAAATATAATGGAGATAGAAGCAATAAATGAGAAAAAAAAATTCTCAATATCTCCAATAAAAAGTTATCTAAAACGAAACTTCAAGTGTGTATATAATTTGTTTTTTGTTTGTAACAAAACTTCAGTATTATTGAGAACAAACACTGTCTATTCCCGACAGATCTCAAACTCTGCTCCTATCGGTAAATGGTCACTCGGGTGATGATGATTCGGTAAGAAACCAACAACATCTGGAGATGCCGGTTCAGGTAGTTGGAGGATACTCACAGGTTTGATGAAGTCTGAAGGAGAGAAGAAGATGTAGTCAAGTGTGTTAGTGAAACCAGGAGTGCAATTTGTGAACTTAGGCTCTCCTCTTGTCACTTCATAGACACTACACAGAGAAAGTGGAGCTTCTTCTTCTTCTATGGTCTCAGCGGATTTCGCGTTACCCGATACTATGTAACTATACACCTGAGAAATGAAGAGAAACACCAGTTTTATTTTGCAAATAGATTGGAAGGATTACAGAACTTAAAGGTAAAGGATTGAATCAAACCTTATCCCTAGGAATTGAATTGAAGTCACCAGCTAGTAACAACGAAGGTGTGCATTTGAATTCATCTGATATTAGTGTCTTGAACTGAGCTAGTCGTGATAGTAGATAATTGGCTTGTGCCAGCTTGACATCAGCCAACTCCGGGTCCCTAGAAAGAAGCAAACATGAAATGAAAAATGTGTGGAAAAAGATAAATCTTCAATGTGTGACCAGAGTTTTTTTTTTTACCAATAAAGATGTGTGTTTGCCAAAATAACGATGTGATGAAACGGCTTGTTGATCCTAAAAGCAGCCATTATGCCAACACAATCGCGTTTTAGTCTCACTCGTGGATCATTAAGGTCACGACTGTCTTTTCGAGAATCTTTTGTTTGGGTAGATTTGTGGAAACATGTGAAGAGAACAATAGATATAAAGTTGGTAAATGATGTTGAGATATAAAGAAACACCACAAAGAAGTTGCTTCTTTTTTTTTTCTACTAAAAGGACAAATTTACCTTTCGCTTTCTCATCACCTTTTGCTTCACTGGAGGTCTCAATCTCCTGTTCGCTGCAGGAAACAGTATCTACCTTTATTGAGTCCAAAAGATCATTATATTCGATCCGCTCTTTGGTGATCAACTCTGCACTAAATCCAAAGAAGAGTGTTGTTTTAATCAGATTAAGGTTTCTGCACTAAGTTAAACGTCCTCTGGTCACATCTAATGTTTTATTCATACCAGCTAGGCTTGTAGAAGATTGCACAACCATCACGCTTTCTTTGTCCGGTTCTCTGAATATAAATCCCAGAATAGCCCAGAGACTCCATGTTTTTTCTGTAAAAGCTATCGTACTCATCTACTTCCTGAGAAATTTGTAACAGTATAACTAACAAGTAGAGACGCCATGTTGATACACACAATTAAAAGGCGCTATGAGAATAACACTAACATTCATACAAGTATGAAATTGTCTACTGGATTAAATAAGAGAGAAGAAGGAAAGGGCTTCTCCATTCAACCAGACAGAACAGAAGAAATGTTTGACAAGAAAATACCTGCAGACAAAAGAAATCAGCATCGAGATTTCTGAGAACACTGAGAATTGCATGTGAACGAGCTTTCCATCTGCGGCACAAACAAATAAGGAAGACCAAGTCACATTTACTGCAAATATCATAACATTTCAAGAAGCACCGTCTCCTAAGCTTTACCAAAGTTAATCTATGGCTAAATCCCAAAGTACATATTGGTTAATGGATAGGTAATGTGAGCAATACCAAAACACAATAATGACCACTTATAACTAAGTTCTTGCACATTCATAAATCCATTGTGGTTTTAGTACTTTGGCTTCTAATCGTGATCAGAAAGATATTCTTGTGAGGCTCTATTGACCGAAGTTTTTACACTCCAGGCCACTCACACAAAGACTGTTGACTAGCATAGTATAATAAAAAACTGATTTCAAAACTGAGAAATGTAGAGAATATTTACTTGAGACAGGCAGGTGGAGAGTGTGGGAGAATGGAGCTCTTCACATAGACCTAAATGAAAGACGAAGCTCAAAGAGATATGAAGTCACACAAAACGAAGTAAAAGAATTGTCTTTATCTCTAAAATTCAAGCTTACAAAAAAAACACAATACAGTCAATGACGCAGCTTGATATGAAATCGACTTAAGTTACGAAAGTTTGTCAAGAAGCTTTAATCTATATATTTACCTGAGCTAATATGTTATATGAAACGAGACGGAATCTGATACCTGCAAGCACGAAACTCTCATTACCATCTCATAAATCATATACTATAGAAGCCACAAGATATGGTTTAGTAGAGGAATTAGTAAACAAACCATCAGGTTTACTTCTTGAAATAGTATCAGCTTCTTGAACAGATTCGAATTTGCGAACTTTCGGTTCGATTGCAGGATTCGTACTCATTCTCTTTGATACAATTTTCCTGCAGACTCGAGTACTGTTTAACCAAAGTGTCAGAAAAAGAGAGCAATCCTATTGAACATTATCGCCAATTACCCATCAGAATCCAATTACAACCCATATAAATTCGAGATTCGAGAGGGTTTATTCCGTTAAAAAAGAAGACAAATTTCTCGCTAAACAAAACCTTTTTTTGAACGAAATTGACCATTACCATTCAAACAGAGGAAATCGGTTTCGTCGCATTACTAAAGTCGAGAACTTGAAATTAAAAAAAAAAAAAAAAGGAAACGCACCTGGTGAAAGAAGGAAGAATCGGACGAGGAAGATGAATCAGAGTATTAAACATCGATTGAGCAGTGACTTAAAAACTCCTTTTTGGCGAGGCTCGAGTCGAGAAGGTTCAAAATAAAAAATAAGCATGAAAAAGTAGAAAATTATCAGGTAAGACCCTTTACTTATAATAAATCATTAAATGAACCTTTAATTTAATATGATTCATATAGAAGAACGAAAATATTTTTTTTTATTACAAGTTTAGAACCAATTCTATTTTTTTATTAGGTTAGCTTACTAGAGCCTCCTTGAATGATTTGCACTCTTTAACCACTCTGCGATCATGAATAGAGGAGGAGAGATTCTAGATTCCTTTCCGATTGATCTCTTTCTCGAGATATTCTCGAGACTGCCTTCAAAGTCCATCGCGAGGTTTCGTTGCGTGTCGAACCAATGGCGTTCCATGCTTCACCGTCCATATTTGACAGAGTTGTATTTGACAAGGTCATGGGCTCGTCCGCGTCTCTTATTCGCCCTTCGACGAGGCAAGGATTTGAGTTTCTTCTCGTCGCCTCAGAATCTCCACAAAGTAATGCGTCGTCTCTTGTAGTATCTGTCGATTTGCACATGAAGTTACCCAAATGCAACTGGCCTGCAGATATTCGTTGCTTTACCTCTGGTTTGATATATTTCTCTAATATGAAAATCTCACCAAAGAAGAGTAAGGATGCAGGGCCTGTGGTATTTAACCCTAGAACTAGACAGTATGCGAGTTTGCCTAAACTTGAAACGCACGGATCAGTGGAGAGAATTAGCATGTTAGGGTTTGATCCGATCGACAAGCAATTCAAGGTATTGACTGTATCTGCTGATCCAGATCTTGATTGTAATGACAGGCATAGAATTCTGACATTAGAAACTGGAGAAATGTGTTGGAGAAAGATCCAGTGTCCCTTATGGCATTATTCTTGGCCCGGAGAAGGAATATGCATCAATGGGGTTTTGTATTACTTAGCTAAAGGTGATACTTCTGATTTGATAGTTTGCTTTGATGTTAGGTCTGAGAAATACAAATTCATTGAGGTAGAAAAATGGTTTTATTATGCTACATTGATAAACTATAAGGGCAAATTAGGTGGGTTTAGGCAAAAGTATGATGGCGATGGTAATACCTTGGAGTTGCATATGTGGTTTCTAGAGGATGTGGAGAAACAAGATTGGTCGAAAAATGTCTACGCTTTGCCGGCTAATGAACTCGTTGACTGGACTTGTGTTTCAGTCGTTGGAGTGACTGCTGCGGGTGAATTTGTTTTGTCCATGGACCATATATACAAATTCAGACCGTTTTATATTTTCTACTTCGGTCCCGAAAAGAACAGTCTCCAACAAGTCGAAATCAGAGGTTTTGAAAAATACTATGGAGAGGTTTATTATCAGAGTCGTCATAGAGTTTTGGCCTATGTAAACTATGTAGAAGATCTTAGTTTTAACGATGCCAAGTACCTCAAGCCAAGCCAATGCCTAAATATCATTAGAAAAGCAGCTCTGCTCCATCTTTGAAGCAGAACAAAGTACGACTTATTAGCGAACCTTAGGGTGAGGATAGACAGGTGTTGATTTGTTGTTAAGAGGCCAAGCCAATTTCGTGAACAAGAGTCTAGCTAATTTTGGCTGTGAGTTGCGTGTGAGCTTTATCACTCCGTTGGCTTAGCTATTTTTGTTCTTTCTGGTTATCATGTTCATGTCCTAATTGTGTGGAGACTTTACTTGGGAGCAAAATAATGTTTTATTAACGTGTTTTGTGGACCACTATAGTATATTCTTGTTTTCTCTTACTTTGTTTTCACGAAATTACCAGATCGATGATAACGTAAAGTTAACAAATCTCATATAAAAAAATTGGATATCTCTCAAATATTGTAAATTCTTACATGCCAGATCACAACTCTAAATCACTTCTCTTGCTGCTCTCACTGAGAAATCACTAGCTATGATTAGGCCATTGCTGCTTTGATGGTGCTTTTCACTATGGATCATCAAAACTGGAATCTCAGACATCATCAAAAAATTTTGTTTGATATTACATTTGAGGTAATGAAACTGCAGTCTAAGCATGCTTCCGGCCGCATGAATTGGTCGCAAGACGCGTCTATAAACTGTTATTCGGTTTCCATATTTTTACGTTCCAAAATGTGAAAGATACCCTTCTGGGATTTGTTTCTGATCACTTAATCCGTCTCCTTGTCAATCTATCTCTGCTTTAGAAAACTAAAGCTCGTTTCTTAGTTCCGAAAAAAGGTACTTTGTCCACTCGCACTTTTAAAGAACAGAAAGAATAGGCAAATTACCTTATGATGAGTTTGATTATAATCCTAATCTCGTAATTTGAGAATTAAGATCATGATTTGAGATCATCCTGTAAACGTCTCGAGGACTTTAGGCATCCATGGAGCCTTATATCCCAAGCTTAATCTCAATTGCATAAAATCGATTATTTACTTCCAAAGCTTGATCTCAAATTGCATAAAATCGATTATTTACTTCCAAAGCTTGATCTCAAATTGCATACGTTCTAGTTATATAAGTTCTGCTTAATTTGTAGTATTGTTGCTGGATGAACATTTCACGTGGCTTCAACTCGTTATAAATTTATAATGAACGATTGGAAATAAGGGAATTTGAAGCTTTTGCTTGCTCGATTGTTTTATGCACTGGAAACAAATACACTAGTTAGGATGAAGAACAAACAAACAACCCAAATCTGAGCCCAACTAACATGGTAAGAAACAGAACAAAAAGAAACAAACAAAAAATATTTACAAAATGAAGAAGAAGCTTTTCAGAAAGAAACCCAATAACTGATCCCATCTAAGAACGTGGCAGGCATGAGAAAAAGAAGAGAGTAACAAACATAGTAGAGACGGAAGAAAGATATAACATTCTATCAGCTCATTAAAGAGGATCTTTACTTAACGTCGACATGCTCAATTGGGATGAATCAAGAGTTCTTAATCTTCGTTTACAATTATAAAGCATGGCCAATACGGTGTTGTATGCCAAGTTTGATTTAAGACAGAGATTGCTATGAATACAAAACTCATCGAACATGTGTTTGAAGTCTTTGAATTTATAAATTTATAAGACCAATTTTTTTATATAGAAATTTATTTGTTTAATTAGTTTTTGCATCTTGCTTAATCATATGTGTTTGAAGTCTTTGCATCTTGCTTAATCATATTCTGTCTTCTCTTGCTTGTTTAATCACGAGAGAGTGAAGCTGTGATGGTGAGAAGACCAAGAAATCTCATACAAGAATCACTTCGCTAGAGGTTGAGAGGAAGATTAACTAGTCAGTTCAATTTTCTAATTTTTTCGAAATCTTTACCCTCTCTAGAGGTTCTTGTTTCTTTTTTCTTGATAATATAAACCTAAGAATTTACTCAAATATGTCTTGTTTCTTTTGATCTCAACAGTAAAGACAATACAAAATTTATACTACTGTACATATACTTATAAAATATATCTATAAATCAGCCTGTTTTTCCTTCATCTCTCGAGTCTCAAGTGACCATTTGAATAACCAAAACATGATATAAACTCAATAATCTACTCAAATATTGAAACTTAAAGAGTAAACAACTAACAAAATTCTTGTTTCTTTTCCGTCTCTTCCAAACAGATTCTTCATTTCAGTAAAATCATTTTATTCTCTCCTCTTCCTCAGTTATCTCTGTTGCTGAGAATCACAGTATTGTGGGTACTTACACCTGCAAGGATGATCTCTTACCTGCAAAAAGTTTGAATCTTTCTTCTCAATATCGCCGGGAAAAGCATACTTTCCGCATGAAGTGGTCACAAGATTGTCTAGAAACTTTTCTAGGTTAATATTACCTTCCGAAATGTGAAAGATACCCTTCTTGGACTTCTTCTGATCACTTTATCCTTCACCTTATCAATCTATAAGAGCACAGTAGAAGAGTGCTTCAATAGGTTAGCAATCAGAAGAGAATGTGGTAAGAGTTACTCTGCTGAGAGCCAAGGAAAGATCGAATTGAAGAAAGAAATAAACAGTGTTTACGGTGATAAGAATACAAACCTTGTGATGTGGAATGTAGTGGTTCCAAGCATAGCGTGCTTCCCCGGATAACAAGAGCATAGACCGAGGAGGAAGATATAAAGCTTTCTTGATGCAAGTGGGATGATCAGACTTATCATCATCGGTGGTTGAGGCTACTTTCCATGTGGAAACAGAGTATCTTCTGAATTCCATAATACAGGGACCAGCTAAAGAAAGGCTGAAAATGCAATCTTCAAATGCTGAATGCGTGTCAATGTGTGGCGATAATCCCACACCAGATGGGTACTCATTTACCTAACGACATATAATTCCTCGGCCCTTCAATGTAGTTGAAAAAAGGAACATTATACAGAATCTAGTACAGAGAGTGTGATGCTGTTACCGTTAATTGGTCAAGATTCAAGCTTTCTGGGTCGCAGTCAAGGTTCGGGAACAACGAGATTCTTTCCAGTATAGGAGAAACAAACGCTGGAAGCTCGCCGAGATGTTTCTTGGTATCAACATTTCTTGTCCCGTAACAAAACTCGTATCCGTAGTGTTGAACACGCCGTTTGGCGAGACCAATCCAAGGCTTGGAATCAACAGCTGCAAGCAGTTGCTGATAATAGACGGGAACAATAAGTTACAAAAGAGGTAGAGACAGAATCAAATGCCTACTAGACCTTAAGCACATTGCAAATACTATATACGTGTACCTGTTCTTCTTCGGAACTGACGAAATCCGGTAAAAGGAAAAGCCCTGGGATGTTCAATTCTGAATCAGCCAAAAACACTGGGACACAATCATTTACCTGCGTCTACACAAGTATTTCAAAATTAGACGCACAAATGCAACTGAAAAGAATGGTCATCACAAAACAAACACAAAGTTTCTGTCTTTAGTAAATGCTGTCACCAATTTGAGACTCTCTATAAACCAACATTTCAACACATCAATACTTTGAAACCAGTTTCAGCCAAGAAACTCCAAGGAGCTAAGCTCGGTTCTGATTAAGCTAACACATATCATATCTATCATACAATCTGTGGTTTTCTAACTTGTGAATCAGAATTTGATTGAAATCTTCTGCATGAATGCGACTAATTAGGGAAGCAAGGAGAGGAATACGAAAGATTTGAAGCTTATCAAGAATAATTTTTGATGTACCTGGGAAGATAATTGAAGAACCGAGTATCGAATATGCAAAGTCCGTCCATCGAGGTCCGAACATGGCCGACCAACCAATGCTTCTAGAGCGGATTTCGCCGAGAAAGGATCCGAAAAGGAGACGATGACACGAACGCCGCTCTCGTCCGCCGCGTAAACGCCCTTCACTTCCCCGAAAGCAGCGAAAACCGCCGCGATCGCGTCGTGTGACAGTCCTACCGCCGGGCCGCAATTCGCGACGTATAGATTGGAGGAGTTTGGTTCTCCGGCACCGGAAGAAGACGATGACGGTGACGGACGGACGAATCGCGGCTGTACCATTCCGTTACCACTCCTTGTCTCCGACCAACGCGCTGGGCATAGCAAGGTGTTTGTTTAACGGCGCCGTAACTTCGCCGTATGTCTCAAACGACGACGTTTGACTTTGTAATAAAACCAAATAGGCCCAGTTTATATGGACATGGGCTCATTTTGTTCAGATTTAGGCTTTCCCTGGACGACGTCGTAGAGGTAAACCATACATTCACGGATTCACCATTTCACCCATTGTCTTTGACTCTTTCGCTACGCTTTTTTAATTCTTTTCAGCTTTGCTTCTGAAGATTTGATAAAATGATACAAAATTATGATTTTGATTGCGATCTGAATCGGGTTTACAGTTTCCGAATCTTACAGTCTTCAAACCATTTTAGCATGTTAAAAAGTTTTCAGTTTGGATGCAATTAGATTTCATCGAGTTGGTTAGTAATCAAAGTTTTCTGATTTAAGCACCTATTTTTTCATCATGAAGTTATGAACAAAATTGCATGTATTCATACTTCAGTGCATGTTGATAATACATTTACAATATATTAGGCTCCATAATTTAAAATCATCTAAATAGAAAAAGGAGAAGCTTCAGGTGGCACGCATCGAACTTGTAAGACCTTCTAAATCAAGGAGAAGCATCAGGCGGCACTTTACTCAGACACCATAATCTACTGCTTCTACTTGGAGTTGTATTCACCGAACTGATCTTCGCATCTGCGAACAAAAACTCTAAACCAGTCTCTGTCCCATCGGCTTTGTTCATGTCATCTGTTAGAGAATGCCTTACACGTGATGAAAGCAAAGGCCTCTCAGGTGTTCTATAAAGATCACGAGAGCTAGGGAAGCAACTCGGTGGCGCGGGAGAGTTTGGGTTACTTAAAGAATCTTCTTTCAAGATTTCTCCCATTCTTGAAAGAATCCTGAACGCCAAACTCGCAAGTGTTCTGGAATATGCCTCAAGAACCGCATGACCAATGTCCTGAAAACACACAGAAGAAAGATAAGTAAGAAAGAGATATAAGAAAATTTAGTTGGTTCTGTTTATGTTTTTTTACCTTGCCATACTGAATCTTCGTGGCATCAAGAAACGAGTGAGGGAGATTAGGGTATTTGTATTTGATCTGGTATCTAAGCGCTTCTGCTCGGTTCAAGAGTGGCTCATTTCGACCGATTTCAGACGATGGATCTTTAGTGAATGACCATGGTGTCCTGACAGGGGATTTCCCGTTGCTGGCTTGATCTGTAATTTTCTCCTTCCATGCAAACACAGCAGCTTCTAACTTGTTAACTGTCTCGAGTGCAGTATGTTCTGTCCGAATCTTGAGAGATGTAAGGATTTCATCTACTGTGGCGGATTCCGCAGCCAACATTCTGTACAGTTCATCACCGAGACTGTTCTTTCCAGACTGTTACAACACGAGATTTTAGAGCCTGCGAGTTATTATATGATTATCATCACAAGGGATAAAGAGAGGAAGCTTACTTTGGGTATCGCTTCCTTGATAATGGCAGGTACTGGCATTTCAAGAAGAACGTTTTCGTTTATGGCTTTTGTAGCTTTGAAGACTTGATAAACAACTTTGCCTTTGTCAAGCAATTTCTTCCTTGCTGAGTTAGAGAGTCCTGGTTTTGGCACTTGTGGCGATGGAAGCCACCATCGCTTGCTCTCGCTTGTACTCTTGTTCGTCCCCTCAGCTCTACTACCAGTTTCCGAGTACCAAAATTCTGTGTTCACCATCGAGTCCAGCGTCTCCTGTGAATTTTGCAATGATCATTTAACCAGACCAAGACGAAGGAGTAAATATAAAGAAAGAGTAGGTCAGAGAAATTAAACAAACGCCTACAATTAGCATGGAATCCAACTTCTGAAGAGCTGGGAGATTCATATGAATGTCTGCACGAGCTTTAGGTGTCATTATCTGTTGAAACAAAAATCTCAGTTCAGTTTCTTCCTCTGGAGTATATCTGGTTCACACTTTAGATGCATACCTCAAGTGATCTTCCATTAGCATCATTTTGCTTAGAAGGGACTAGCTCAATCATGTAGTTAGTTGGAGAAAGTAGCCAATCCATTTCCCTTCTCCATTTCTGTTTTTTCTCCTCGCACAAGGGTTCCAATTTCCACAGCTCGCCAAATATCGAGTCTGCAAATCGAAAGAAATTTAGTAGCCATTTCACAAGGAAAACTCAAAAAGATATCAAAAGAACTTAAAGCTTTAAGAGTAGATATTAGGACATTACTAGCAAGATGTGTTACAGCATTTGACAAAGCCAAAGCTACTTGGACACCCTTGCATCCCCCGGTGACATCTTCGCCGAGCAATAGCTTTGAAAATTTCTCCTTCATGGCTTCCACATCCATATGGCAGTAGACATAGCCTGGTTTCTTCTTAGCATCAAAATGTTTGGACCTTCCAGATAAGCTCGAATCGTCGCAACTGTGTTCATCATTTTTCGTTGGTAACCATTTTGAAGAAAAAGAGCTGGAGGCATCTTTGCTTGATGAACAGCTTGAAAAAGCATCATCATCCAACGAATCTGTCAGGCATCCATCTCCTCGGCTTGTTCCACTTTCTTCTTCATATGATTGATTGTTGATAATACAAGTTTCCAAGCCATCGTATGTAATCATTCCTGAAAAGAAGGAGTACACAATGTCATCTTAGGAAGATCTGTTAACATGCCTAATGGACTATACTAGGTGATATGAATCAAACTGTGTTCCGTCCATTCTAATTGCAAATTCATGTTCTGTCATTAGTGTCTTCACAATACTCAGAAGTAGCCATACTCAAAAGTGGATATCAACATATGAGCCACAGATTGCGAAGCTTAGACTAGTAACAAGTAACACATTATCCAATTGGCATGCAATGCATATTGAATGGAAACATCACTGAAGAATCAGCTAACAGATTTTCTATATGAAGAAATTCAAAACATATAGTTTCACCTTTTGAACTGTAGAATACAGAGGAACTTACACAGAACAGAGAGAGATAGACAAAGAAAGAGAGGAAAATATAAAACGAGGATCACCAATAGAAAAATAATTAAAAATTTACATATCACTAAGAGACCATTCAGATTTTGACCAAAAAGATAAAACCCCACCTTCACATCTACTTCTTGTCTCACTCATCAAATGGGAATCAAGAAAATGGTAGTATCACATACACGTTGTTTATGCAGACTAGTGTTCTACAAGAAAAACAAATGATAAGAAAATAAAAGGAACCAAAGTCGCTGTGTTCCACGAGTCTTTAATAGCTAAAGTCAAGACTTTTGTTAACCCAAGACTGCTAAAACAAATTTAAATGCTTCCTTTCTAAAAGGAAATGTATAAAAAAATCTCAAAAACAATGAGTTAGTATCCCCATGTGGTGTATGAAAATTCCAGACGGACCCACCACGAAGACTTTAATCAATTGTCACGACATAACATTTTTCAAACGCTCACAGCAAATAAACAAAACTTGTTTAATCAAAACACCAGTGATTTGATTTAAGAATCATATCTGCCCTTGAAAATCAAAGATATGATTCTCAAGTCGCATAAGTAACTGACAAGTGAAAAAAAAAAAATCATGAGGATATATATTCTTCTTCGTCCTCGTGAAGTTTTTCATGAATCATCAACATTTTACTTCAGTATAATTTTTTTATTAAGAAAATAACATGTATAGCCTTAATGACCATGTGAAACCAATTAGCTACCTACTCTTGGCAGTTTCTGAATAAATATAATCAATGATCTTTAAACAACTGAAAAAAATATTAGAGGACCATTACTACAAAACCCTACATCCAAAGAAACAGGGTTTGGTCTAGACATAGGACATTGAATCACACAAAATGCTCTCGCATCAAATTGAATGTAGGCATTGATGTCGCGTGGAAAGCTACAGACTTCACGCCCTATTTATTACGTGAATGACCGGGTTGGTGTAGATCTTTAAGGGTCTGATATTGGTCCCATACCAACCCTAAACCGGTCACAAGACAAATGGAGTGACCACTCACTTTTATATGAAAAGTATATATATATATATATATATACCTAACAGTTATAGTCTAAATATTCCGTATCATGTGTACGCAGTAAACACCCATAAATGGAACACCTAAAAGCTAAATAAAGGTCACTTTTTTAGTTTAAGACTTTAATCACGCATCATTAGTGTAAGAATGAAAGAGAGGTTTAATTAGTACTTACTATCTTGTTCATCGAAATCGATGCTAATCTCCCTCTCCCTGCTGCAACAAGCCAACCTTCTTCTCATCAGCATCATCGTTTTTCTTCTTGTTTTTGTAATTCCTTATGCTTTTGTGATTCTTTGTTAAAATAGAGAGAACAAAATCCTACTTCTTTCTCCCTTCTTTATTGCTAAGAAACAAGTTTCTTCTTCTTAGTCAGGTGATATTAAATACAACCACCATCTGGTACCTGCATAAATTAGCATTAATTTTGTTCTTCAGCCAAGACAGCGAAATATTATTTACTCATAAGGAAAGAAAAGGTAACAGCAAAACAAGATGGTGAGAGTGGCATTATCATTTTAATAGAATGTATAACTTAATATGCTTTTAAGAACAATGACTTTTATGTTGGTTTCTTCATTACCAATGATCAAGAATCTGCAAGACAACCACTATGCACCAATGAACAATGAAAGAAGACAAACCATGCTCTCAATTTTAGAATATAATTTAATCAGACACAAAGGGACAAGAAGAAAGAATTTTTCACTGTACAATGAAGATTAGGCAAAAAGAAAAAAGGAACTGAGTTGTTATTATTTACTAATCAGTTTTTCTGGTTGTACTAATAATATTTTGAAGGAAAGGATTAAAAGGAGTAATGATGTTTATCTTTTACCAAACTTTAGCTATTTAAAAAAGGCAACATCTGAAATTAATCTCCAAATTCTTAAACTATTCCCAAAGTAAATATTTTACGCGAAAAAAACAACTCTTTTAATAAATTTAAGTGAAAAGAATCGAAAATCGAAAAAGAAAATGTGAGCCTAAGGAAATCAGATCAAGCTGAAAACTAGCCTGAAGAACAACATTACATTTTTTTTATATATAAAAAGAATGATTAACTAATTTCTCAAACTGAAATCAAAAGTTAAACACGAGATGTGAAATTCATTGTTTCAACTATAACCTAACAAAAAAAAAACTATAACCTAACATGGATTTGGCCGATTTACAGAACAGAGCTAAATCCATGGGAAGAAACATAGTGAAGGAAGTAAAACACAAACCTCAATTGTCTGAAGCTAAAGCAAATCAACAGAAGAAGACGATACTAAATAAAGTAGAATCTGAGCTTCAGAAGCAAAACCACATTCGTCCGTACATCTGAGATTACATATATACGCAGTAACTATATGGTATAATAACTGAGATCAATTTTGAGGAAGAAGATGAAGTAGGAGAGGAACATGGGTTTGGTGAGAACATTTATTGTGGAGGAATATTTTTGTTGACAATGGCAAATAAATTGTTTTTTTGTTTTTTTTTTTTGAAAATTAGAGATGATAAAACAATGACAGCCGTCGGATCTTTAGTGAGCTGATTATGTAACTTTAGACGGTTGTGATATAAAGAATGGGTTTGATTTGACAAAAGATAAAATAAAGTGGTTGATTTACAAAAACAAAAATTTCGAAACCTGTAAACCAGAGATTAGAATTCAACGGACATTAGCACCGCTGGTGAGACATAAAATTATAAATTATTTTGAAATTCGTGCTAAATGACATCAACTACATTAAATGTCGTCTAATCAATATCACGAGACTTATTTTTTTATTTTATGAACTTTATTTTTAAAACAACACTAAAAAGAGAATTTAGCGGTAACGTTGTTGGGCATTGGGAATTAGGAAAAAAAGTACTAATACTATTATTACGGAAGCTATGGACTCTTGAGTACGACTCTTGCCTCTTCTCATGTTTTGTGTGCTTTGAGCCAAACCCCAAAATTACTTTTTGGTTCTAGAAACTTTTTGAAAACTTCAATATAACCCCGATCTACTTTAGTTTTCTGTGTTGCATATTTGAATCATAGCTTTTACTGTAGTTTGGTTTAGTTTAATCCAAATATTTTTGGTCAACCACGTTAGTAGTTGTATATTACTGAAAAGGACCATGGTTGATCCGTTTGAGGATACAATCATACAAATCACGTAATAAAGATTCAATTCTTACTTTGTATATAGAAAGTACAAACTTTGGATTATAACAAACACTAAACCATGTTTAAAGATACAGACTATAACGTAATAAAGATTCAATTCTTACTTAAAAATTAAGCAAGTAACTACGACAAAACTGGAGTTTCAATAATCTTTGTTCTTCCAAAACCAAACACCATGAAAAGAATCAGTCCTCTTCCATTGGCACTTCTGGAATGTCAAACCTGTCTTCTTTAATCGGGTTGTTGATTGTTGAAACTGAAGAAGGTGAAATTGCAGGTCAAGGAGATAACACAAAAAAACATAACTCACATGTAAAAATCACACTTAAAAAGTAAATTCCAAAGACAATTAACAAGATATATAAAAAGGATATAATTAGCCAACATAGGATCATCTGCTTTCTCTCCACGGTTTCTGCTACCCTGAAGCTCTCTAAGAATCTCAGGAGTAACCTACATTTAAAATTAAAAAAACCGAATAAGTGTGATTTATACAATACGAAAAAAAAAGTTTTCATTTTTCAAGCTAGAAGAAGTCTTACAAGATGGTGTTTTTGCCTCTTGAGGAGAGTTTGGAAATGCTCTTTGTCTTCCTTTAGTAGTTCATATTTGTACCTATACATCGGCTTAAACATGAGCTTACAAAATAACTTTAAGGTAGACGAGTTTTTGCTTGATTTGTCAAACATATCTGTAAGAAGAAAATTACCGTTGCACAAAAGTAAGAAGAGACTGGTGCCAGATCACAGGCATGACTCTTATTTCGTCGACGAATCTCATGAAGTGAGCAACCAATGCATCAAGCACTCGATACGGCATACAATATTTCTTCTCCAAAAGAGTTTTTATAAAGTAGCTGCATAATAAAATATTATCAGACTAGCTACATAATAAAATACACTGTATCGAAGAAGGCAAGATATTATCTGACTCTCTGGTTAAAAAAGTCTAAAGAATAGTGTTTACCTGGTTGTGCCACAATACTCCATCTCAGCCAGGTTTAGCAAAGCAACACTGCAGTTCATGCAAATAAATTAGTAATAATGTAACAAGTTCTATTGATGCAATCTTTGTACGCATACCATGAGTGAAGCATAGGGATAGAACACTTTTCGAGAATGCTTCCTAAAATTACAGCTTCTCTGAGATTGCATGTCCCCGACTGAATAAAAACCCCAAGGAAGTAGTAAGAAAACCGTTACATTCCGTATTTCAAGGAGATTCTCGAGGAGGAATATAATACCTTACAAAGCGGAAATAGTATGCCTTTATTGAATGCACTAGGCTTGTACAGTGACTTTTTCAAAGCCTGGTATAGAGCAAAATGCAGCCTCTTGTGTTTTCTAATATCCTCTCTCACTCGCGGGAGCAAAACGAAGTTATAAAACCGTTGAATCTGACTGTCTTTCAAGTGGTGAGCAAAGATCCTTGTGGCTTGATACATTGCGTTAGGAGACCATTTCTCTGGCTCAGTCAAGTATAATACATCCTCCCAGCGTTCCATTTTAGTAATAAGCACAAACGCTTTTGGCATTTTCCCAATCGTATATTCACTCATAATCTTGGCAACACTGCATATGATCATCTCGAAAGTGTGAGAAACGATTCATAAATTCACTTGAAACTCTACAGATTCTGCAATGCAAAGCAGAAGGAGTGGAAAGAAAAGAACATTTACCCTTTATATAATTGAGTTATCTTAGAGTCCATTTTAGGATCAGGACGCTCTTCTGCAACCAAAAAAAAAAAAAGAATGAGCTTTACAAATTAGCAAAGTTATCCAGCAAGATACAGTAATCAAACAAACGCAGCAGAAGCAAAAACACACATGAAAACTCTGTATCAACCTTCAGCTAAGTCGGCGTCATTATCTTTGATTTTCTTGATAATGATGTCGGCGAGAGTACGTTGACGAGGTGCATCTTTAACAAAGAAGGATTCAAACAACTTCTCGTCTTCTTCATTGATATCCTCCTGATTCCAAAATGTAAAATATAAGCACAGAAGAAGGAAGCATTTCGCATTGTTCTAAGCTATTCAATCTAAAGCTTTCCCAGAGAAAGAATTTAGAAAGCTTTCTCAACATTGGATTTAAACTAATGTTAACTTTTCACAAACATTGGAACATTTAAGTATGAAGAATCATTGAAACCTGTAACCCAAAAGTAAGATCATTTTCGTTCCAAGCGATTCAATTTAACCTCTAATCCTGACCTCTAAACTTCTTTAACATTGAATAAAGGTACTCACTTGATAAGTATCATCGTCGAATTTTCCATCAAATTCATCAATATCATCAATATTATCTTCCTCCTGCTCCTCCTCCAGCACTCTCTTCTCCTCTTCCGCAGTAATGGCGGCCGCAGTAGAAAACACGGCGAGACTAGGGTTTTTTTCGGCGTTCTCTTCATCAGCGATCTCTTTTTGCTGGGCAAGAGCTTCCTTCATGATCTTCGAGCTGATTCCAGCATCAATCAACTGCAATAAGACGAAGAATTATGAACATCCTAATCAATCGAACATTCTAGAAAGCTTAACAGTGAAGACTGAAGAAATCCACGAAGTCGTGAAGTTTGTTTTTTCACTCACCTTCTCCTGCTGCTGATGGGTTTTGGGAACCTTTGATCGCTTCCTGGAAGAAGCGACGGAGGCGCCATCGGAGATAAAAGGCTGTGTGTTAACAATTCGATCTCGCTTCTTCGCCATTGTTGTGAGAAGAAGGATTTTCCGGAGGACGGCAGGGAGGAAGAAGAAGCAACTGATAAAAACTAAAACCTTTGGCTCATCAGATTAAAACCCTAATTGAACAAAAAACGAAAAACAAAAAAGATATACGGGTTTGGACCCATGGATCATTGGGTAAGCCCATACGGCCCAACTGTTATATTGTTAAATGGTCTTCTTATCCAGTGCATTAAACAATCAATGTTTAACAGATCAATGTCTAAAATCTAGTGTAACTATGTAAGTGAACATAAATTACATTGATTGTTAATTTCTATTCTTTTCATTCTTATGTTTGTTTATGGGTCTTCTTTGATATGCGCATTTACTTTGTATTCCGACCTTGTATGTGATTTACACAATATGCGAATGCTGCATTTGCGGTTGGTAGCAGTTAGTGACGTTTTATAACAATCACAGAAATCGCTGTAAATCGCTTCATATCGTTTTATACCAATAAAATCCAAAAGCTACTTCCCGCCAGCATTTGCGATTGCAGGCGGTAGCGGTTAGGGAAAAAAAAATGTACGCTAAAAAAATAAAAGATCACATTAAAAACAATTAATTACAAAATTATTTTGTTATAATTTTTTTATTCTTCAGAAAGTTACATAGTCAAACGAGATGACATGTATATTATTTCAATGGATCATTGTGGAAAAATAAACAGAAGATAAAAAACCTAAATTTTTGAGTTGGAGTCATACAAAAAATCGATTAGATCAATTGAAGAAATTTTACACTATGCATAAGATAAATCCAGAAGATCCACGTATTGGAGCAAAATTTTTCCAGTTTAATACATTACTATACACAATTTTGAGTGATATTCCCAAAAATTGAAATAAAACATATTATCATAAAATTATTAGTTTTTAAATAATTATTTAGTATTTATTTATAATTTTTTTACTATTAATTATTTTGAATTAGTGATTTTGATATCTAACATAATAATATATTTTTTATGTTTTTTATAATTATATATGATATTTATTTTGATAATTTTGTGTTTAATCGCTGAAACATTCGGTGGTTTACCAGTCAAAAATGCCTCGTAAACGGACTTGCTTTAAAAAGTTTAACCAGTCGTGCAAACCGCTTAATAACACTCAAAACCGCAATCATCCGCTTCCGCAAACTCTTGCACTCGCAGCGTAAACACTGCGTTTAAACCAATCAAGCCCTTAATCATACTGCTATTTTGTTGCTTAAAAAAATAATCAAACTTGGTAAATATTGATTTAAAGGAAAAGTCCCTGAATAAAGTTGATGAGATTGGAAATAGAACTCAAGTTTGAATAGCCTAGAAACATAAAAAAAAAAAAATATTAATTGTTTCATTTTTCTTTCCACATCTTAGATAGAAAGTTATCACAAATTCACAATCAGTATCTCTATTGTGGAGACTATGATTTACAACTAAGCATACATACATAGTTTGCCTTAGAAAAATATTAGAATTCGCCACCTCCTCTAAGATTAGGATTTAACGTCGTTTGTGTATATTGTCTATAAACTTTTATTATTAGGGCATCTCCAAAAGAAACTTTAAATCTTCAAATATGGGGTTTTATTTATTCCAAAAGCAACTTTAAAACCTCAAATTTGAAGTTTGCAGTTTTTTATTTGTATTTTAGCTCTTACAATTATATATTTCATAAATAATCACTTTATTTTTTATGTTTATCATTTTAATCCAAATAATTTTATATGTCATGAATATTTCACATTTATCTTTATAAATTTTATGTTTGCATATAAAATTATATTAAAACAAATTGAACTGCATAATATGATAATTGAAGATGAATGTGACATCAACGCACCAATTAGAGATGCAAGGCCAGCTCCAGAGACAACAGTTGAAATGACAATAAATGATAATACCCGATTTCAACAGTTTTTATCTCATAATTTACAGATAAAAAATAAAGAGGTTCATTTATCACTTCAAAATGCATTGATTGATCATATTTGAAAACATTATGGAAATAATTTTATTGAATAATTTGGTGTAATGTAATAATTTATATATAATTTAGTTTGTGTATTTTTATTATTATGTTTATATAATTTTATTTTATAATATAATATTTTATTTTATTATAAAATTAATAATATAATTTTAGTTAATGATATTTTTAATGTATATTTTTGTTATTTATAAAGTTGTATGATTTTTATTAATAATGATTAAAAGTAAGGATTATACTATAATATTTTAAAACTTATGAGCATAAATTTGAGGTTTTGCTTTTGGAAACAAACACCATCAAACCTTATATTTGAGGTTTGGCCAACCTCAAATTTGAAGTTTTTTTAGAGATGGCGCCCTTAGCTAGCCTCTGATTATGGTAAAATATGTGATCACATAATCAAAGGCTAATAATAAAAGCTCATGCATGGACCAATATGTATGATCAGCGGTTAGTAATAAAAACTTTTGGATGATTAGTAAAACCTGGATATTTGATAACCCATCAATTACATTAGAGATAGCTAAATAGTCATCCTTGAATTTTGCATTTTAGAAAATCTGGTAAATACATTTTTTTCAGAGTTTAAAATAATACAAGTTGAATTATTCTAGCAATGCTTTAGAACTTGGAGAGGGAATAATTAGTGGGGAACAAAAAGGTTATAGGCGTGCCCTTGAGTTGGATCTTGGATCAATGGTAGACTTAGTTAGGTAAGCTCTCTTATCAAATCAACTTAATAAGCGAGAGAATTAAGAAATAACGGTTTTTACATTGATTTGTAACTCATCAAAGATTAATTTTAAAGATCATAGTAAAGACCGAACAAAAAAAAAAGAATAATTGTATTGTACCCGTCATGAGAAAAAAAAAAGAAAGAAGATGAAAGAAACAGTTATATATCAATTATGTAAAAAAAAATGACGGTGGCGATGATAACAACAATGGCAAATTGGCAATAGCAAGCAGCAGTGGTGATAAGTGCAGTAACGAGATGGTGTAAATGGTGGCAGTGACGGTAATGATATATAATTAAGCTATACCATTTAAATGTAAGAGAATATGATAACGGTGTTGGAAGTGTATATTGATTTTGGACAGTAAATCACGAGTTCAATTCTTTAAACATCTTAGCAAATTATACGTTACTTCAGAACGACATAATTTTCATTTTTGTTAATAATATGTAAGGTCGAGGTTCAAATTAGTGGTTTTCATAAGATGCATGCTTATTTGCATTATTTAGATCGATGTTGATAATACATTTTTTTGTCATTTGAAGATTTTTTGGTATTTGTTTCCGTCAGAATTTAAAAGAAAACCAACAAAAGTTTAAAATCTAAGCAAAGCACATAGTGACAACAATATAAAGTAAAAAGAAGTTCGAATCATATAATCTTGGGCCCCTTCTTAATTATATGTACGGCTCACACATATTTTCGTTGTTATGATTTGATTATTAAATAACCTCAAACTAACTTTAGCATTTAAAAAAAAACAAAAAACTTTAGCATTTAATATCTGTTAAGTGTGATATAAAAAAAACTATTTATATTTTACTAGAGTATCGGAGCTCCGGTCCTCCCAAACTATGGAAATTATAAATGGAATATCGGACAACAAAGATAATGTATCGCTTCAACTTTTCCACTCACTCGAGCCATTTTTCGAGTATTAAAGTTTCTTTTTTCTTTTGCTAAATGATTATTAAAGTTTCTGTCCAAAATCTGAGCTGATAAATATATATATATATATATATATGAGTATATATATATATATGAGCTATTATATATATATAATATATGTATGGATTGTTTTTGTAGAGATTGTTTTCAAAATTAAGATTGAGAAAATAGAAAGCAAAAAGATCACCTCCATCAGTTGCTCTAAATATTTTGCTCAACCAAGTAGTGGTTGTCCAGTGATTATAGGATTCACTCTTAATGCTTTTTTTTACAGAATTTGAATCCTGCTTGTGCGATTTCTATTCATGAGTCCTGCTAGTGCGATTTCTCTCATTTTTTTGGGCAACTGTAGACACTTTTCGATAGGTATGGCTGTATGGGAGAATCAGTCTGGATTTTGGTCTAGGCTATCCTGATTAACAGAAAAATAAAGTATATTTTGCTCGATAATAAATGTGGATCTTTGCTTTTAAGGTACGAGACCATTTCATTTAGCGATCTCTAATCAATAAAATTAATCACACGCCAATGATACGCCAGTTTTAAACTTTTAATACCAAAACATTTCTACTACTTTGACCCCTTAAAAAAAACATTTCTACTACCTTCTTGTCATTTTTTTAAAACAACTTAATTAACAGTTTGTCGCTAATTATTTTTAAATTTATTACAATGCTGCAAATATTCATTTGTCTTATTATTCTATTACTCTGATACTCATCTCTTATGCTTGAATGGTGGCGGTGATCTATGTGTACTCGTAAAGTCGTAGGCATCTGTTCTCATTTTTATGGGAGGATTCCTTGCTCGAATATAGGCCATTTAAGGTTTGCGTTTCCTTAAATGAAAAAGAATGCAAGTGATGGTGACTTGGTGGGTTTTCATTTTTATTTTTAGTAATTGTTCGCTTTGTCGTATTTTATTTATTTTTATTTTTTACATTTGTATACATGCTTTTAAAATTCTGGCAATTGATAGAGAGAGTGTAGCCATAACATTTGGCAGGTTAAGTGGACAAAGCATTATCGATTAAAGGTTCATTATACTTTTAAGATAACACATGACTTGACTTCCTAGAAATAGAAATCTTTAGCGTTGTCATATCGAGACTGATGCCATTTTTGGCAAATATTAGTGGGAACATACTCATTTTCTTATTTCAAAGTATCATCAAACTGACTATATTACGACAAACAAAGCCATGTTAGAACAAACATATTTTTTAATCGAATCATGGTGTTAACCAAAACAAGAGGGTTAAAAATAACAAAACGTAGGACCTGTGGGATCCACGTATAGATCCTTCTTTTTTTGTTTCTACGATATAAAGCCTTCTTAAACTGCATCCTTCTCACTTGTGTAGATAAGAAACCCAA